TCCTACAGCTATGGTAGGAAGTGTGATCGACGGCTCAGGTAGGAAAACAAATGATTGACTTTATTAGGGCCGTCCTTGCCGCAGGCAGGAGACCCATTGTAATCGTTTGGATTTCATCATCATTATTTTATTTTTATTCCGCTGATTTGTCTACCAGACGGGTCAAGTCGCTAAAACGTACCGTTTGGCAGTTATTTTTGTTTTCAGTTTCCGGCCATGTTTTTCAGCAGTTTTCTGAGTAGTTTGCTTCCAAAATGTGCCAGTATGGTAGCCCATGTCCTGGTGATTCCAGAACACTAATTGTTTTGACAGTAGACCCAAGAACAACTGGGATACAGCCTTTTAAAAGGGGAACTATTTCTTCTCCGGAACTACTTACATGACCCCCGCGACCCCGGCTGTATTTGGAAGATCCTCTCGCCTGTCCAAAAACGTGTTCTGGCTCCGTTTTGCACGATGCTTTCTAGCCCTCAGATGCAATAGATAGAACTATAGCCAAGGAGACCTCATCGTTGCCTGCAACTATATTTTCACTGCTATAATTTGTGAAATAGGAATACATATATGTATGCATATGATACGTATACATACCCGATAAAAGTAAATAGCCCAGCGGATAAGTGATCAAATTGTGCACTTTGTGTTACAAGCATGAAATTTGGCATGATTGTAGCTAATACCATCTCTAATTGAATAAAGATCGAGAGGCCCTCGCAGATTTTACATATTTTCCATAATTTTGGGGAAAGTAGAAAAAAATATCATTTTGTATACCATTTTCGTCATGACTTTTTAAAAATTCTCCAATTCCTCATACGTCATATATCAAATTGTAGGAAATTCATAGCTGGTCATTTTGCATCTATACATCTTTTTATCTTTAACGGTTAGGGTCTACGGAAGTCAATTTATATCATGACTACCCGAAAATGGGAATTGGCGGCCATTTTCAAAATGGCCGCCTTATAGGAGCAATACATCAGTAAAATAAGTATGAGATCATCCCATGATCTAAAAATATGTTTATCATTTCTTTGCAAAGTCAATACGAGAAGCCTCACAGATGGTGGCCGTTTTACATTTTTGGGGAAAAAAAGGGAAAAAAATGAATTTTCAAATTTTTTATTTTAACTCGATTTTAAATCCTCATAAATTATGTATCTAGAATATTGTGAGAACAGATGAGTTTATTTTTAAGAAATATATCATTAGATTTACTTACATGTATAATGTATGAGCTTGGTTGGCTATAGATCACCTATGAAAACATATCAAAATCAACGCAAACATATTTAATTTCAACATCAATGTCAAAGTAGTTATCTCATTAATCTATAGAAGGTTACTCAATCATGTGTAATTGTATCTAGCTTGACTGAATCAGTAGAAAAGTGCAGTGCACTTAGGAGCTGCTTTTAAACACTTGGACCAGTTTGAACGTTTTATACAATTGCATTTCAGCAATTCCTGGAAGCCCTTCCATGCCAACAGAAGAGTTGTCCATACAGGTCCAAGCTCTCCCCTAGAGTTATTGCCAACTCTATGCAGAGGGTGGGCTTGGTAACTCCTGTGATTTCATCAGGGATTGCTCTGAAACATAACTCCCCCTGATTTACAGCTCTCTTTATATGTTGGATCAAAGCTGATTCTGTTGGGGAATATTGTCCAAAGTTCTCCCTTCGTGGTGAACAAATGTTTTCTTGCTTTATTCACTTTCATGAGGTGCTCTGTCATACATCAGTACAACAAATCTCTCAAGCTGATGAATCAAGTGGTGGACAAGTGAGGGAAATAGAGGTGCCTGTAAGTTCAGGAAAAGCGTTCCATGCATTCCACGAGGTCTTTTCTTATCAAAGGAGGGCGGTGGGGTAGCCTAGTGGTTAAAGCGTTGGCTCGTCACGCCGAAGACCCTTGTTCCAATCCCCACACGGGTACAATGTGTGAAGCCCATTTCTGGTGTCCCCAGCCGTGATGTTGCTGGAATATTGCTAAAAGCGGCGTAAAACCAAACTCAGTCAGTTAGTGATATCAAAGGATGAAAATTGTCACAGAATGTGAAGCTGTGAATCATTGGAAGGGATCTACTTTTCCCAGGACCGAGACCTGATGCAAGTTCATGAATTACAATATAGCGGAAGCGTTTTCCGGTACCAAACCCCACCAAAACTTCTTCAACATTGAGAATGCCTGTTGCAGCTATGGCCAACACAACCACATCATTGTCAACAGTACGGCTGTAAAACTTCTTCCATCCTTTATGTGAAGCATCAGTGAAGCAACTTTCTTTTATCTTTTTATCTCTTCATAGTTACAAGGTGCCAATTCCAAAAGGTCTTTTGGTTGATTGACACTCACATATTCGTCAATTGGGCTGATGACTTGTTTGATTCTATCAAGGCTATTTTGTTGTACAAGGAAAGCAAAAGTTATTTCTTGCTGGCATCACACCTCGGGAATTCTTGCCAGTTCTGAGGAACTGGCTTCTACTCGTCGTCTTTTTCCACTTCCCCTTTTGTTCTTACACTGGATTTTAACGCTGTCCGTTTTGTATTCGCCCCAGACAATATCCACTCTCTGATTAGTGTCCAGAAGAACATATTATCAGCATATTCATCAAATGCTATTTGAGCTGCTGGTTTTAGCATGTTTGTTACTGCAGATCCATCAAGGATTGACAAGTCAACATCTGGTTTTGAGTCAGTTGGTGGTGATATTTTCTTCAAAGCAATTGAGAAGAACTGATTTTGTTCATGGATGTAGATAACCTTGATGAGATATAGTTGGTGAGCAAGACTGATTTTCATGTCTGACAAACTCATCCAGGTCTCCATCACTTGACTAGTCTGTGTATATCTTGTCTTCATGGAAGAGGTTCTACATCCGTATTGTTGACACAAATGTGGTTGTGTTGGCCATAGCTGCATCGCTGCTCTCAGTGTTTCACAGCTTCACAGGCCATGGCAGTATGTCATCCTTTGGTGGAATTGAAAAGAAGGCCTCGCGGAATACATGGAATTCTTTTCCTGAACTTACAGGCACCTTTATTTCCCTCGCTTGTCCATCACTTGAAATCACTAATGCGCTGATCCATCAGCATGAGAGATTTGTTGTACTGCTGTATGACAGCGCAAGCAACCCTCATGAAAGTGAATGAAGCAAGAAAACATTTGTTTGCCACAAAGGTGAGAACACTGGACAATATTCCCCCAACAGAATCATTCCCCCAACAGAGTCAACTTTGATCCAACATACTAGTAACTATGGACAACTCTCACGAAGGCATGAAAGAGCTGGCGGGAATTGCTGAAATGCATCTGGATAAAATGTTCAAACCGGTCCAAGTGCGTTAAAGCATCTCGCACGTGCACTGCACTTTTCTGATTCACTCAAGATAGATACAGTTACACATGATTGAGTAACATTTTTATAGGTGATCTATAGCCAACCAAGCTCATACATTATACATGTAAGTAAATCTAATGATAAGTTCCTTAAAATAAAATCTCATCTGTTCTCACAATATTCTAGATACATAAGTTATGAGGATTTAAAATTGAGTTAAAATAACATTTGTTTGAAAATTCATTTTTTTCCCACTTTTTCCCCCTCAAAATGAAAAATGGCCACAATCTGTGAGGCTTCTCGTATTGACTTTGCAAAGAAATGATAAAAATATGTTAGATCATGGGATGATCTCATACTTATTTTACTGATGTACACTATATGGCAAATGGCCGCCAATTTTCCCATTTTCGGGTAGTCATGATATAAATTGACTTATGCAGACCTAACCGTTATAGATAAAAAGACATGTATAGGTGGAAAATGACCAGATATATATTTCCTACAATTTGATATATGACGTATGAGAATTGGAGAATTTTTTTCAAAGTTATGACGAAAATAGTATAAAAAATGATATATTTTTTCACTTTTTCCCCAACAATTATGGAAAAAATGTAAAATCGGCGAGGCCTCTCGATCTTTATTCAATTAGAATGGTATAAGCTACACTCATGCCAAATTTCATGCTTGTAACACAAAGTGCACAATTCAGTGAAAAATTGCACTTATCCGCTGGGCTAAAAGGAAGCCCTCCAAGTGACAGACGTGCCAAACGTAAAGTCTTACTGCTAACGCAGGAGCATCATGCTAAGTACTAATACTATTTATCTTACATTCATGTAAAATACTTTGAGTTCATTGGTCAATGACGGTTTAACAAGTTTCCGTGTCACCCCTCACAACAAGGGTAACAACTGGAAAAATATTACCCGCTACCACGGTAACCTCCAAGCCCTCCTCCGAGAAGCTGAAGCGCTAACAATCGTATGACATCATAATATGACGCATGCCGTGCCCGGAGTTCAAAAACCGTTCGATCAGCTGTTTTGTGTTCACTTTGTACTGATTTATTTTACCGACTTTTACTGCTTTATTTAAGCTGTTTTATATATTGAGTGGTTTGCACACACAGCTTAAACATAATTAACAGTTTTATAGCAGTTTTATGCTTGTCAGAATATGTTTCACTGATGTTAAAAATCCAGTCGAGAGGAAGACGTCATTTCTTTTTTACATGTCATATAGTCGGTAGCGATCTTTAGCATAGCATAAAATGACATTTTGTACATTTAACATGGCGGTAAGATAAATACGTTGTATGCTTCTCTCTCTCGGGTAATACGAGTCTGATGTACGCTTCTTTGTAGCAGTGTCACCCGAGCCGGAAGGCGAGGGATGACACTGCTACAAAGAGGCGTACCTGAGCCGGTAGGGAGGGATGACACTGCTACAAAGAGGCGTACATCAGACCGTATTACCCTTGAGAGAAGCATACAACTTATAACATACCATAAAAGAGAAATAAAACGCCGAGAGTACTTTGTGAAAAAGTAATCAAACGCTATTAACAAGAGGTGCTAAATCGCCAACAAATTCTAATATAATGTAATTTATATCGTCATGTACATTCTAATTCACCTTTCATACTATGCTTGGTTAATTGGCTTAGTTGCGTTTTGTTTCAGTGAATGTACATAATCCTAAAAGTGTCTACATCAAGAACCAAGCGCCATCTTTAGCAATGCAAGTTTCAATTAGACGTACGTATCCATGTAAGCACAGACTACGTTGACTGTGTATTACAAGATGATTTTTCTTTCGTCAGTACGGCAGTAGTGAAGTGTTTAACTTTAAACATTTACAAAGCTTGTGATCGTTCATAACTAATTAAAGTACTAAGTTCCATGTATGCAACTCTGGAAAAGAATTTTATGGGTATCAACTTCTCTTTTATGTTTACATCTGATGAAGGAGTAAGTATATACTCTTTTTAATAAAGAAGTTGACATCCATAAACTTTTCTTCCGCGTGTGTATCCCTTCCAAATGCCATTCAAAGACCTCATGCAAAATTTGGTTACACCATTGCATTGTTTGGCTTTTTTGTTTTTGTTTTTTTTGTTTTCTAGTTTCTTTTTTTAACTGAATCACAACCAAGTTCAGTGTTGTAAGCCCTAAAGCCCTATTTGTTTGAGCCACTGTATTTAATGCCTGACATGTTTTTATTACAGACAGAACAGAAGAATTTCTGAGCATATGGACTAATGGCATGATAAAAACCAAAGCAACTGAAATACTTATTGACAAGATTGGTAAAGGTGCCAGATAAATCACGATTACAGGATGCCCTGGCGATGGGAAGTCTACATTAGGCTACTTAATATTACAGCATTATCTCAAGATGGGCAGACCAGTGTATGAAGTACGAACTCCAGAAGAACACAAGGCTGTGTCTGACAGCAGTGAGTCTGTCATAATGATCGACTATATATTTGGGCAGTTTTCGTTCAACAAGAGTCATTTCAAATGGGAAAGTGTGGTCATGGATATCTGCAAACTTCCAGAACACAAAGGTAAACACTCAAATCGCAATGCCTCCTTGACATCATGTTATATTCTGACAAGCAGAACTGATGTACTCACAGTAGCAACTCATTATTTCAATAAATTTTCTAAACTGTTACTTAATGATGAATGCAGAGTTGACCTAGCACAAATGACAACCTCGACGGTACCAGAAGAGTTCATCTCTGAAAGAGTTAAGATCTGGGAATCGCATGCCAGAAGAAACGAAATCATAGTTGATAAGGACACTGTGGTAAAAGTGTGTTCAAGGAACTCTTCGCATGGATTCCCTCAGTGTTGCAAGTTATATGCTAATGAATACCATACAAAAGTGACGATGACAGACTTCTTCCTGAATCCTATTCCATTTTTAAACGAAACAATGGAATCACTAATGGGTAACAAAACAGTCGGGTATATTGTGAGGCAAATGTTGAAGAATGGTGTGTCGTTTGACCTTGCCAGCATCGAAGATGAGGAACGCTTTTTTGAGCTGTATGATACATGCCAGCCTCTAAAAGGAACATATCTATCAATGGATGGAAGTGTAATATCATTTCAGCATTCATCAATTTATGAGAGTGCTGCGTTCGTTGCGTGTGGACAGCATCCAAAGTTCGTTATAGAAAATTGTAGCTTGACGTTTCTTAAATAAAGAGTGCGATTTGAACATTTTCAGCACGACCTCAGTGATACATGTATGACCAGGAATATAAAACGCGAATTCGTGACACCTCTCATTCAAAGACTGCAACGTGAAGTTAATGCATTAAATATACAGTTTGCTTTATCACATGAATCCTTTCACGATAACGAGTTTGTTGTTGAGTTCATGGAAGCCATGGCATCTATACGGGTCAGAACGTTGCTTTCCTTGATCGATAAGGAAACACAAAATTCTTTCCTCTATTTTTCCACGAGTAGCAAGTCGGAGAAACTTCTAAAACACATCTGTGGTGCAACTGAATTGTCATCAGATCAACAAGAAGATTGCATTTTTGGTATTTGTGAACACAGTTCTGAGTTATCAATGAACTTCCTTTTGGGTATTTACAAAGGAACTGAAATTAACTGCACAAATGCTTATCAGCAAACACCTTTAATGGTAGCAGCATCAAAGGCTTCTGGTGAGCTGCTGGCTTGTATCTTGCTAGAAAGTGGTGCAGACGTCAATATCAGAAATGAGTATGGGTACACCGCGCTCGAATATGCTTGTGCTAGCAGCAATACCAACACTCTGGTTCAAGTTTTGAAAAATGGAGCGGACATCAATACCAGAGATAATGAGGGTCAAACTCCACTTAATACTCAATGTTCGTTTGGAAAATTCTCTCTTGTGTCTTTCCTTATAGAACATGGAGCAGACATTAAGATAAGTAACAAAAAGGGAGAAACTCCCCTTCACGGGGCATGTACAGAAGGATTTAAAGATATAGTCAACCTTCTGTTACACAAAGGAGCACGTGTCAATGCAAATGATCACAAAGGTAAGACGCCATTGCACTATTCTTGTGAGTACCAGGCAAATGATATTGTAAGCGTGCTGTTGGCAAGTGGTGCTGACGTCAATATGAAAGACAATAAAGGTTTCACCCCACTCAGACATTCTTGCAACAGTAAAAACATCCAGCCCTTTGTTTGAACTTTTGGGAAAAGGTGCTGATATCAATACGAGGGATGCAAAAGGTCGAACAGCTCTGCAGGAAAACTGCTCTATTGGACAAGTCAATGTTGTGATTTATCTTTGGAACAAGGAGCTGACATTAATATGGCTGACAAGGATGGTCAGATGCCGCTTTGTTCCATGGAGCATGTAGAGAGGGGTTGAAGGATATTGTCACCCTTTTGTTAGAGAAAGGCGCAAGTACAATGATTGCAAAGGTAAGACACCATTGCACTATTCATGTGAGTACGGAAGTGCTGATGTAGTGGGGCTGTTGTTGGACAATGGTTCTGACCTCTATGCGGAAGACAAGAAAGGTTACACCCCACTAGGGTATACATGTTACACTAAAGACATTCAGTGTGTGACTCATCTTTTGGAAAAAGGTGCAGACATCAATTCGAAAGACACAAAGGGGCGAACTGCTCTCCACGTAAACTGTTCCTTTGGAGACGTCAGTGTTGTGACATATCTTTTAGAACAAGGAGCTGACATTAATACAGTTGACAAGAATGGCCAGATGCCGATTCATGGAGCATGTAGAGAGGGGTTGAAGGATATTGTCACCCTTCTGTTGAACAAAGGCGCTGATGTCAACATAAAAGATAAGACAGGAAAGACGCCATTGCACTGTTCATGTGAACTAAAAAGGAATGACATTGTGGGCATGCTGTTGGAAAATGGTGCAGATGTCCACGAAAGAGACAGGAAAGGTTTCCCCCCACTTAGGTATGCATGTTACAGTATCAACTTCCATGCTATGAGCAAACTTTTGGAAAAAGGTGCAGATATCAATACGAGAGACACACAAGGTCAAACCCCACTTTATTCGCAATGCTCCATTGGAGAAGTCAGTGTTGTGACTTATCTTTTGGAACAAGGAGCTGACATTAATACAGTTGACAAGAATGGCCAGATGCCGATTCATGGAGCATGTAGAGAGGGATTTCGGGATATTGTAGCCCTTCTGTTAAACAAAGGCGCTGATGTCAACACGGAAGATAAGAAAGGAAAGACGCCATTGTACTATTCATGCGATGAAGTAATCAACCGATTGTTAAACAAAGGTGCAAATACCAACACCTAAAGGATGCGTAATGTTCAGTCTTCTATACATCCATCGGCCATTTGGAAAGTGACAGCTACACCTAGGAAAGACTGAGTATTTGGAGTATGGCAATACTTAAAGTTAGTACTCTTCGGCTTGCATTTACGGACACATGGAATCCACAACATACTGGTTTGTCTTCAGAGTGGGATGACACACACTATCTGCAGAGCCCCGTATTAAGTTGCCTTGTGGAGAAGAAGGGTATTGTTAGTTTGCCTTGAGGAGAAGTAGGGTAGTGCTAATTTGCTTAGTTGAGATGAAGGGCAGTGCTAATTTGCCTTGTTGAGATGAAGGGCAGTGCTAGTTTGCCTTGTTGAGATGAAGGGTAGTGCTAGTTTGCCTTGTGGAAATGAAGGGTAGTGTTAGTTTTCCTTGTGGAGAAAAATGGTAGCGCTAGTTACTCGGGACCTATTCTACCGCTGCCACCTATTCTACTGAATTTGTGGACATGGTATACCTAAAGTTGTTTTCAAAGCAGGAAACGAAAGAGGAAATTTCGATACATTTCTTTAATTTCTGCTCATTCCATCTTAAATGTGGGTTCACTGGAATAGAATTGATAGTGTTGACTAGTTCAGTATTCTTGAACCCATGTGCTAAATCCAGGTACAATGTTTCCTGATGGGTTTGGGCGTCATTACGAGGACTGGGCAATAGTATCGGTAAACCGGTATATATTGGTACGAATATCACGATGTGATTCAGATTCTGCAATATATTTGGTCATCCAGAGTTAGCATCCTTTGAATTATCTACTACTGTTGATTTCCATAGCAACAAAACGTGCTCTAAAAGTGCCAAATATACTTTTATTTCTATTGGTTTCATGTTACATTTTTCAATAGGAAAATGGCTCGAAAGTGCCAAATATTCTACCAAATGCTTCAAGTTTGGTGGGTTTGAATGGTTTCATACGTGGCATTTTGGAAGAATTAAGGGGCCTCAAATGGACCAATTGTTTTATTTGGAATTATTAGTAGAGCCTCTTGATCTGAGTGTCCATTTCACAATTCACATACTTTTGTTACTATTGTTTGTTTCATATTGGGACATATGCTATAAATATATCATAAAGGCCTAAATCTTATTAATTTAGGCCAGTATGATAAGGATCTTAGTTATTAGAGATAACATGAGATTTTAAGCTCAAATAGTTCACTTCAATCATGTTTTTGTTTCATTTTCCAGTAGTTCATGTTAACGCATGTTAAATCTGAATTGAGTGGTTAATATTTAACGTCACATCGGCAATATTTCAGCCAATCGTGACGATAAATCTGAATGAATGACTGACATACAGTAACAATAATTACATACTGCATTGAAGTGCATTCTGTTGAAGCAAACAACGCTGATCATGAAAATAATGTTACACTATTACCTTTATTATGTTCACAAAACATTGCTGCAATACTTCAATTAAATATTCCACATTAAGGATCTATATCATTTATCTGTACACCACTGGCATACAGCCATACACAATGGGGACGGGAAGCCTGAAGTTATGGTGTAACAACAACTTAGTAGATGGTGTCACACACAGAGAGCTATTATGAATTTATGATGTACGCACTTGGGCAGAAAAATCCCAGTAGATATATGACAACATGTATCGCAATATCTTTTAAATCATTGCAATATATCGCAATATGAGAATCAGGGTAATATCCAGCCCTAGTCATTACTGTCAAAATGGATAACATTGAACACTGATAATGTATTTCCCAGTCACAAGAAAACGAAATTCACATCATCGTCTATAAAATACCCATCCACCTGTGATATAAGGCGACATTTTCATAGATGAAGTACTATACATTCAGTGTGCCATTTGGCCCTCTCGCTTCTAGTTACCTACCTCTCATGGTTGGTAAAGGTTATTTGAGGTTTTCAGCGAAATCGCTTTTCAATTATATTGTTGCCCAGCTTTCCTGTTACATCGTTGTCACAACCTGACTGTACGCGTAACCATGCACCAGTAACCCGATGGCGAAGCTACATGTACCCAGCCCCCAAAACCGTCCATATGCCTACTTTTAGACTTTGTGACAACCTGCGCTGTTGATGAAAATGTTTGCAAGGTACAGACGTCTGTATAGTTTGTGTGTTATCTTGAATGGGTATGCTTGATGCACGTGGAATGATTTCTCTGACGAACTGGCCTCATATGCTATCGGAGATTATATGGATCAGTTACAATTACAAGTCGAGCCCTGAACAAAGATAATATATTCATGGAAACAAATAAGGAACACATGAAGTACAATGTTCCTATATTCTTTCCAGGTTTCTTCACAAGGTATATATTGCACTGTGGGTGAAATTCTGAAATAAATATAGGAACACTTGTATTTTCATGTGTTCCCTTATTTGTTTCCATGGGTATAGTTTGCACGCGCGTTTTATATGTGTTTGTGTTTTGTTTAACTCCACATTCAGCAATATTCTGGCTGTATATATTCGGTAATAATCGAGAATATGAAAAGTAAACCTGAACTATTTTGTGCCTTCTTATAAATTTAAACAACATTTTTCTTAGTGGAAATATTTGCATAGTTCGCAAGACCTCTTCGAAGTGTGTTGATTATACTGTACACGTGTGGGTCGGCTTTGAATAACGCACGTCGGAAATGCCCTCTTATGCTGAAGTGGAATGGTATCTCTGATGCAGGCACGCCATCTCCGTCTCGTTATGATCTTTATTACGCATAGTACAATTCCTGTCACAATTGCATTAGTGTCAACAGCGAGTATTTTATCAATATATTTCACGTTTTGAGAACAGTCAGAGTGGGAATATATGCAACAGGGCCCGAGGATGGCGACAGGTGTTAATGTACTACTGAATATTAATTGACTCATGGCGACATGGTTTAGTGTGCTACGTCAAAGTTATCTCGGCTCATTCTTATGGACAGTGAACGTATTCTAAAACCAACACGTCATGGTTAGAAATGAATTTTGGGCAGTCTCATGCGATCGAATATACATACCGGCACAATAACGGCAATTGATATGTAATTTGTTTGACAGGAATTTCTCCGTGACTCTTTAACCACAAGGCTAACCCACCGACTACAACAACATAGAACCTTTTGCTATATTGGAATTAAGAGATATTTGACTATGTATAACTATCTATACCAAACTATTGCAAATATTATGAAGTTGTTGTACATAAAGTGTATCTGAATGATATTATAGCATTACGTTATTCTTGTCACGGTTGGACACAGTAAAGGCATGTTTACGTACTGTGAACGAAGGTCTGTTATTATGTGTGTTAATATAGACGTGATGACTTTATACATTTAGAATTTACAAGTTTGCTGGCATGTGTTAATATTGACGTGATGACTTTATACATTTAGAATTTACAAGTTTGCTGGCATGTGTTAATATTGACGTGATGACTTTATACATTTAGAATTTACAAGTTTGCTGGCATGTGTTAATATAGATGTGATGACTTTGTACATTTAGAATTTACAAGTTTGCTGGCATGTGTTAATATAGACGTGATGACTTTATACATTTAGAATTTACAAGTTTGCAGGCATGTGTTAATATAGACGTGATGACTTTGTACATTTAGAATTTACAAGTTTGCAGGCATGGGTTAATATAGACACGATGACATTGTACATTTAGAATTTACAAGTTTGCTGGCATGTGTTAATATAGACGTGATGACTTTGTACATTTGGAATTTACAAGTTTGCAGGCATGTGTTAATATAGACGTGATGACTTTATACATTTAAAATTTACAAGTTTGCAGGCATGTGTTAATATAGACACGATGACATTGTACATTTAGAATTTACAAGTTTGCTGCCATGTGTTAATATATATTTCTACATTTAGAATTTACAAGTTTGCTGGCATGTGTTAATGCAGGCATGATGACTTTATGCATTTAGAATATACAAATTTGCTGGCATGTGTTAATTTAGACTTGATGATTTTGTAATTTAGAATTTACAAGTTTGCTGCTATGTGCTGATACTGAATTGTCAGCTGTAAATTGTCTTTTTTCTCTTTTCCAAAATTAATTGTTAACTTTCAAAATTGTGGCTTTTCAGCATTACCAGCATGTGTCTGATCCTGGTTTGATCATAGAACTAAACGTGCAGTCTGCGTCACATTGCATAAGCGTCACTGATAGAAGCAGTCGGTGTTGGTTGTTGGACGGCTACCCAACTAAACGGAGTAATTGAAGGGACATGCGCTAACAATACGCAATTCTGATTCTGCAAGCAACAGTTTCCATATATGGTATCAAATGACCTCAAAGAAAAGAGATAGGAAGTGCCCATTGAATTGTTTCATGGAAGATTGCAATTAACACTGAATTCTTTGGGACGAAATGGCAAAAGGTAAAACTAACATTAAACCCCTTTGTATAGATAAGTCTATAAATATGTAAAGTATAGAAACATTTTTGTCAATTATGTATACACATATCGTGTTCTTATTAGCAACATTTATTGATTATTTCCAATAATTCATTCCCCTCTCATGTCAGTTTTCTCAATTTCGTGAACTATTGTATTTTACTACAGTAGTACTACAGTAGTTCTAGGAGTGTCCGTACAAGGAAGTGGTTCTAGCAATAGTACATCATCATCATCAGTAGTAGTAGCAGCGATATGTTTAACATTAGTATTAGTATTAGTGGTAGTAGTAGTACAGTAGTAGTAGTAGTAGTAGCAGCAGCAGCGATATGTTTAGTATAAATATTAGTAGTAGTAGTAGTAGTAGTAGAAGAAGTAGTAGTAGTAGCAGCAGCAGCAGCGATATGTTTAGTATAAATAGTAGTAGTAGTAGTAGTACTAGTATAGTAGTAGTAGTATAGTAGTAGGAGTAGCAGCAGCAGTGAAAGCGGCAGCAGCAGAAGTAATAATAGTTGCAACCAACTATACAACATTTCGTATTTGCTTGCTCAACCATAAATTGTTGGGTGAAAATTAAAATCTTAAGATGCCCTTAAAGCAAGGTAAGATGTTATTGTAGAAATACTAGCAACTAAATTGAATATATTTGATGGGCAATATCCCAAACCTGCACGTCCTAGATTTTATTTCATGCTGCGAGCTTGCTGGGTAGATGCAGTGTTTTTTTGTAGGGTGGCGTCAACCTTTCGTGATCCTTCTGTACAATGTTGACTCCATATACGTGCAGCAGAGTTATGTCCCTTTATGTGATATACAGGGGCTAGTTCTTTCGATGTTGGGAATGGTCTCACTTTTCTTCGTTAATTCCCGCTAAAACTGATTAAGGATAAAGTGATTGGTGGATAGGTTTACCCTTTAATTTCCATAAAGTTAATTCTCTTCGTATATGTTTGTTGCGATTTTAATTCTACGAAATGTATTATTTAATTGATGTAAACAGTTTCATGGAGAATGCTTAAATACTTATACAACATATTAAGAACCACTGCTTCATTACTCTGTGTTGATTGTTGACCTTTACAGATGCACCTAAATGTTTAGAATATGAATCTTTTGTATGATCACATTTTAGCTTTATGTATATACCAACTGAACATAAATAAACGTGTAGAGTTTTATAAAATGTATAAATTCAATCTTCAGGTTTCCATTTTTTAATTTTTTTTTCCAAATCTGGCAAAGGAACATTATCATACTTTCGTGAATTCATCACAGCGTTTCGTGACAGAAGTAACATAACCCTTCGGATTTGAATTTGGTGGTACTCTTACCACCGAGATTTCTGGTTGCACAATACCGAAATCACTGGTTTCGATATCTGATAATTATAAGTTTCTCTAAAATAACGGGCACTGGGTAGCGTTTGCTCGTCACGCCGAAGACCAGGTTCGATTCCCCACATGGGTACTGTGTGGGAAGGAAGTCCCCACGCCGTGATATTACTGGAATATTGCCCTAAACTAAACGTCACTACTCACTCACTCTCTACCCCTCGTTTTCGCCATAGCGGGTTAGTTAATCCTGCCTTATTGAAGCCATATGAAGTAAGAGAACAACAAGGCTGGACTTCAACATTTACCCACGTGGGAAATCGAGCCCGATGATACACTAACGCTGTGATCACTAGGTTACCCAACTACATGTACGATACGTTTTCTCTCAGTTGTGTTCAGTGGGAGAGACGCCTACTCATTAGCGTGATTGTTAAGTGTGAGGAACTCGTAAACTAAATGCGAGAGTCTGTATTGGTATTCGGGGTTGTGTACATATTTACTGAGACCCGTGAATGTGCGGGTTAGAAATGGTCTTCAGTATTCCATGCTTGTCGTACGAGACGACTAACAGGATCGGGACTTGGTTGACACACGTAATCGTATCCCAATGGCGTAGATCGAAGCTCATGATGGTGATCACTGGATTGTCTGGTCCAGACACGATTATTTACAGACCGCCGCTACACAGTTGGAATATTGCTGAGTTTGGCGTTAAACAACAAACCAGCCATACAACAAACCTGTTAATGAATTTCAATGATTGTCAGCACAATACTCTTGCTTGTCTGTTTTATCAAAGATGAATCGGCTGAGATCTTCCTCATACCCACAGTAGCATATACCAATAACCAAAAAAGAGACAAAAGGTTTCGTCCGATACGTTAATACTCACACCGTTCAATGAACGGAATCATTTTCGTAACGTTTTCATTTGCCTGTAAGCAGCGGAAACTATTCACTTCAGCACTCATTATACAAAGTAAAATGGAATTTTGGCTCATCTGTCTGGTTTGTTTTACATGGCATGGCAGAAGTTCTGCCCTGCGGCGTCAGGTTATTCATATTTGAACATATTTCTACGATAATTGTATGGATGGCGGGGACTGCCAGTGGGACAGGACATCTCCACCATTTATACCCGAAACGTGGTTCATCACATAATTCAGGGGTCGATTCATAAAATGTTTACAGGTTTATTACCTTTTCCATCAAACGGAAGTTTCTGCGGATAGTCAAGACTGGAATTGTAACGAACAGGATGTGTGTATATATTATTGGCAACAGTTGCTCTACATTACATATTTATAGAGTTATCTATACGATCAATGGGTTTACTGTGTCTCTTGACTTCGTGTTGACATTTCTCCCAGAGAATTTAACATTGACGGATATCTTTCGTGATCCAATATATAGGGCACTTACTTTCGCTTTATTGAGGGTCATGTGATAGCATACATAAATACTGTTGTCCGCTGAGTCAGTATGTAGTATTATTGTCGTATGTTCCTCCAAGACGGCGTCCCACACCATCGCCGTCGACACCGGCTGCTTCTATCACAGCAAGTTGTGTTCATGTAGTGAGACCAAGAGTCCACGTTGACTGCTTTTACCACAGCCAGTTGTGTTCATGTAGTGAGACCAAGAGTCCACGTTGACTGCTTCTATCACTGCCAGTTGTGTTCATGTAGTGAGACCAAGACTCCACGTTGACTGCTTCTACCACTGCCAGTTGTGTTCATGTAGTGAGACCAAGAGTCCACGTTGACTGCTTCTACCACTGCCAGTTGTGTTCATGTAGTGAGACCAAGAGTCCACGTTGACTGCTTCTATCACTGCCAGTTGTGTTCATGTAGTGAGACCAAGACTCCACGTTGACTGCTTCTACCACTGCCAGTTGTGTTCATGTAGTGAGACCAAGAGTCCACGTTGACTGCTTCTACCACTGCCAGTTGTGTTCATGTAGTGAGACCAAGAGTCCACGTTGACTTCTTCTACCACTGCCAGTTGTGTTCATGTAGTGAGACCAAGAGTCCACGTTGACTGCTTCTACCACTGCCAGTTATTGTTCATGTAGTGAGACCAAGAGTCCACGTTGACTGCTTTTTACCACAGCCAGTTGTGTTCATGTAGTGAGACCAAGACTCCACGTTGACTGCTTCTACCACTGCCAGTTGTGTTCGGCCGTAAGTGAGACCAAGACTCCACGTTGACTGCTTCTACCACTGCCAGTTGTGTTCATGTAGTGAGACCAAGACTCCACGTTGACTGCTTCTACCACTGCCAGTTGTGTTCATGTAGTGAGACCAAGACTCCACGTTGACTTCTTCTATCACAGCCAGTTGTGTTCATGTAGTGACACCAAGACTCCACGTTGACTGCTTCTACCACTGCCAGTTGTGTTCATGTAGTGAGACCAAGACTCCACGTTGACTGCTTCTACCACTGCCAGTTGTGTTCATGTATTGAGACCAAGACTCCACGTTGACTTCTTCTACCACTGCCAGTTGTGTTCATGTAGTGAGACCAAGACTCCACGTTGACTGCTTCTACCACTGCCAGTTGTGTTCATGTAGTGAGACCAAGACTGTACGCTTAGTTCTAAGTATGATCAAAACTAGACTAAATACATACCGGTAATGCTGAAAAGGTGTAACAGACAAATTGGAAAGTTAACAAACAACTTTGAAAGAGACACAAAAAGAACATTTACAGCTGACTATTCACAAGTCCATAATGGCACATTGCGGCAAACATGTAAATTCTACACGTGCAAAGTCATCATACACTCCATTATGTGGACTCTGGTTGAAATGTGCACTGATATTAAGTATAGTTAACTAAACTGTCTGGCAATGCATACCGTTCATTACTGAGCCCTGTATCATTGCGACCCCAACGTTTGTTAAGTTGTGGACAGACACTCGCGGACACGGGTATCCCAGTAATCTAAATCGTCGTCCAGAGTTGCAACCCCTTAGGCTTTGTCATGATATGCTGTTTTTACACAGATAGTACATATTAGCCGGACCAAGCATCATACCTGTTCGTGGCCTTCAGCCAAGTATTTGCACTGCATTTGTTCGGAATGTTCCTCCCACATCATTTGGACAAGTTGTTTTTCTGCTCAGAGCAGCATAAAGCCAAGTTGGCTCACTTACTCATGTCTGTTGTCCTCAGACGACTCCAAATAGTCGCTTGAACAATTAGTCGCATGGTGAATACAAGTCTCTAGGTGAAGACGTAGTTAGAAACTATCCATATACAACGAGCATCACAACAATGACATAAACATATCATACCCTTTAAATAATCGTACCGAGACTTCCCAAAAAGGTAAGTTTAATATTTCTTTTAAATTTTTAACATTTACAACTGCTAAATGGTTCATGCATAAAGGCGTCATGATATTTTATACTTACGTATTCCTTGAAACGGAATGCCATTACATGCTCTGAGCAGCGTTAAACAACAATTGCTAACTCCCCAATCTTTTTTGGTATCTGTTTGGTCTTGAACACTTCTGGTGCGTGAAGGGTCGTGAACACTTTTGCTTCGTGTTGGGTCATGAACACAACGTTAGTACGTGTTGGGTACGAAACACTTCTGGATATGTGTCGGCTCATGAACTCTTTTGGGTCTGTTTAGTCAAGAACACTTGTGATCGGTGCTGGATCATGAACACTTCTTGGGTTTGTGTTGGTCCATGAACACTTTTTGGCTTCTTGGGTACCTTGTAGGTCATGAACACTTCTGATATGTGTATGGTCATGAACACTTGTGGGTATCTGTTGGGTCGTGAGCACTGCTAGTGTGTGTAGGATCATGAACACTTCTGTTATGTGTAGGGTCATAAACACTTCTGGATATGAGTTGAGTCTTGAACAATTCAGGGTACCTGTATGGTCATGAGCACACCTGGTATGTGTAGAGTCATGAACACTTCTGGGTATGTGTTGAGTCATGAACAATTCTTGGGTACCTATTGGATCATGAGCACTATTTGTGTGTGCAGGATAATGAACACTTCTGTCATGTGTGTGGCCATGAACACTTCGTTTGTATGTGTTGGGTCATGAACAGTTATGGGTCTGTGTTTAGTCATGAACACTTCTGATCGGTAGTGGGTCATGAAGCTTCTTGGTACGTGCTGGGTCATGAACACGTTTTGGGTATGTGTTTTGTCATGAAACTTCTTGGGTACGTGTAGGGTCATGAACACTTTTTTTAACAGATGTAATAATACTACATGCATTACTGTGTGATACGTCACGTTTCAGACGTACAAACAGTGTAGCATGCTGACATACGAACTAGTAGGATAACGTTTGGTATGTACTAGTTTATTCTCTTTTACAACCCATTATTACACACCATCTTCAGATAAAATATATGACATCTGCAAGTCGATGTTCCTCTGACAAATGTTGGATGATTGTTTGTATTAGATGTTTATTGAACTGTACAGTGAAGTATTACAAGGCTCTTAATGAAGAACTAATTTAAATTGGAACCAATCTGTAAACTAGGATACATTTTCACTTTATGTTAATGATATTATCCGTTTGTACGTAGCACTGAAGGTATTGGTTATAACACAAGTGGCTAGTATCTTAGTGACTGATATTTCGCAACTGTTAATATATTTTAACAATTATATAGACAGATATTATAAAAAACAACAATCAACATCACCTAGCAACTGATTATTCCAATCTGCCAACACTTCTAGGTAAAGTAACATTCCAAAACCAGTCAAAGTGTTGTTATTTTCTTTTGAAATCATATATGCCTACTTTGAAAAGAGAAATCTTTCTACCGTTGCAGGCTTTAGCAAGAGAGACTGTTCAACAGAAACATATTCAATGGGAGCTGATCCTAATCTTCATTACATGAACAGATACTTCTGACTAGGAGTAGTATACTCTGGTGGGGCCCATTCCTGGTATCCGGTATACTCTGGTGGGAACGGCGTAAAACCATATTCACTCACCCTTATCCAATCAGGGCTGCAACAACCGCCTGTCCAAAAAAACAAAACAAAAAAAACATTGTCCAAACACAGTGACACTTAATTATACAATTCACTGCTGACGTCGTTGGATGATGTGACGTCATACACAAGTTTGTATGTCAGTCACATCCCCCTGTGTCAGGATTGACAGTTGGCAAAACAAGGTTCACTACAAAGTCACTTGGCTGCTGTCGTGGATCAATGCTCTCAGTACTTATATTCCACTAAAGTAATTGTTGACCTTGGATATAAAAATACAAAAACATTGTATAGCCTTTCAGACGCAAGTATAACTACTACAACAGTGGGTCCATCCCTGAAAATCCGGGTTAGAATTGATCTTTAGTAACCAATCACATGATTCTTGTCGTATGAGACGACTAACGGGATCGGGTGGTCAGGCTCGCTGACTTGGCTGGCACATGTCATCGAATTACGTAGATCGATGCTCATGCTGTTGATCACTGGATTGTCTGGTCCAAACTCGATTATTTACAGACCGCCGTCAGGTAGATCGAATATTGCTGAGTGCGGCGTTAAACAACATACCAGCCAACCAACCAAGCTACAACCGTGTGTCATCGACCTGGCTGTCTGCTGTATTACTGTTCGTTGTAGAGTTATCAGGAACACCACCATCAGGGGGAGGTACCTGAAATTCATTATTCTTAATAACTTCATCGTAGGAAGGCGGTGGGTCAAACACAACGGTGTTGTAGTATTCCCTGTGTTCATTGGCTGGATTGAAACCTGTTGCTGACTGTACCCTACCGTATATTCGGGGTTGTGGTAGACAATTGCCCAACTGGTGTGGTCAAATAAGCAGGTCGTATCCTTACATCTGCTCGAGACCATTTCTGTTAACTTTCGTTTCCTATATGACCTTCCACAAAGGATAAGGATAGCAAGCAAGAGCCCACCTCCAGCCAATCCTCCGATAAGTGCACCAATATTGAACTTGGAGGTCCCTTTTTCTGAAGCAAGTATTATACAAGTATTCAGATAATGGTACGTTCAGAACTACTTTGTATCATGGTAACAATATAACGTTCAAAACTACTTTACATCAATGTAACATTCAGAACAAGTTCGCTGTTGTCATGGAAGCAATGAAACGTTCAAAACTACTTTGCATTACTGTAACAATGTAACATTTAGAACAGGTTCGTTTGTATCGTGTAAACAATAGAACGTTCAAAACTACTTTGCATCACTGTAACAATGTAACACTTAGAACTACTTTGTATAATGGTAACAATACACATTTTAGCACTACTTTGTATCATTTTGACAATATAATATTTAGAAGCACTTTGTATCATGGTAACAATTGCACCTTTAGAATTTCTTTATGCCATGATGACAGTGTAACGATCACAACTGCTTTGCATATTGGGAAGTGTGTTACATTTCAAAAGCAATGTTATTTCCATTTTACTGAATGTTTGGCAGTCTATGGTAGCTTACCATCTTGGGTCCTTTGCTTTGAGTAATATGTTATCTTGAAACCGCCTCCCGTGTGAGATTGGTCAGTACGAAAGAGGACTGTCATTGAGCTGTCAGAACTTGTCTTTGTTGGGGTAAGAATTCCGCACCATCGTCCAAGGGATGGTGAAAATGTGTATCGCCCTGAAATGCACATACCAACTACTCATAGTTGCCATTCTAAGCATTTTCGGAACTGTACATGATAAAACAAATAGTTCCTACACATTCATATACAGTAGACTAAAGGTCATAGCATTTTGATGTTTGCTTGTTCTTCACATTTCGACCCCAACACAGCTCGATATATCTGTTAGTTCGTTTCATTCGTAGGTTAAAGTATTGGAACAAGTATAGCTTGAGAGAAGGTCTTACAACAAAGCATTCCTATAAACATCCAAGGAATGCGCAAGTTTTTCACAGCCTGTAATAATTGACGTCTGTGTACTATTAGAAAATGCTTTTGTAACCATGAGTCAAATCATAATGGTGGAGAGTCAATACACAGAAAAGTGCCAGAAAACGTTCTGAGACTGCCGAGGAAATAGTATATTCCTCTGACTTAAAGGCTCATGATATTGTATTTGAACCATGTCTTCCTAACCACCACCTTCATTGAACAGGTACATTTCAGAGTTGTATCCTTACAAGTATTATTCACAGACAACTGAAATGAATACAAACTATTCTGAAATGATGAAATGAATAAAAAATCATAACAAATAAACGTACCATCTAATGCCTCAACGTAGTCTTTCCAGCAGCCAGCAGAATATTCAATGTCAGATACCACCACTTGCAAAGTAATGACATGGTCATTGGAATAGGTTGATATGAACCATGTACAGTCCTCATTGCTGAAAAAGGGAGCTCGTAAGTATATATACACAAAAAAAAGGTTAAGCACCCCCTGATATTTTCACAATGCCAAATGGCAAGAGCCATGTCAGGTCCGCAATGGGCCTAAATGCTTGGACATTCAAATGCCATCTGATACAACAACCATCTGGCAAGACAGAAATGCAACATCGGTGAGCTGTGGTTAGAATTTAATGGCGATTACGTCATGTGTTCACAGGTACTGTTTTTCCTCCAGGTCCTCGGATTCCAGTGTCGTCTGACCAAGCACCATGCCAAAGTGCACGTTTATGGTGGTCTCTAAACAAGGGACGTTAAATGACTCCTGTAGCCTTCAATCCTGCCACTTTTTAGACGATTTCTGACTGTTCTGGTCGCAGTCTTTTGAGATAAGGACTTGTACTGAAGGGTTCTCGGCGTGCATGTCGTATCAGTTGTCTGTCTTTACGCGCTGTAGCGACAGGAGGCCTTCCAGACCTTGGACAGTCCATTGCACTTCCGGTCTGCGCATGTGACCGGACTTAACGGCTAATGGTAGCCCCGATTTCGTCCAATCACCTTAAAGGACATTCCTGCGGCATGCATACCAAGAATCTGATTCCTAGTGTCGATTGACAAACTGAATCGTCTCCGAACCATGTTCAATGAATATGCTTGAATGGCCGTTTCAGCCAACGTTAAATACCCACAAATACAGTTGGGCCATACTGCTTTGTGTGCACCTCGAGGGTAGCATGTTGCACGTACATGCCACAAGTGACACGAGCGCGATTGTCACGCATCACTGGTTATATGGTCTCGCGCAAACTCTTCCCGTAATTATACCTTGCATCACTATTTCAAATAATGGGGAAAAAATTAATCAAAAATATCAGGGGTTGCTTAAATTTGTTCTTTGTGTCTGTGTGTGTGCGTGCGTGTGTGCGTGTGTAAGAATTTTCTCATAATCATTACTGTTCACCCTGGGCAATACATAAGGAGAAATTGTGTTAATTGTATTATGCACTAGGCGTAAAATTGAATTATTTTCGAAATGTTGTTCTATAAATTTAAAGGTAACGCTAAATACAGAGAATTTGCATTTATTTATTTATCTGTATTTGTATAGCACCAATATCCAGCTCAGCTCATCTACTCAAAGGCGCACCAAGTTAATGTGGCTTTCACACCCTTACCAGGTACCCATTCACAGCTGGCTGGACTAGGACATATAATCACAGTACTTTGTCCAAGCTTACTGCACGTTGCTGTACTCGCAACTAGGTGTTTGCACATATTCATGTGGAAACCATCTGGTCATTTACCAACGGATTCGTGGGTTCTTGTAAGTGCACAGGGTTGTGTACTGCACACTGGGGGTTGTGACAACACTGAAAGAGTCTGCACACAAAGTTGACTCCAAGGTCTTTACACCCGGTCACAGGTGGGCTCGATCCCGGCACCTCATGCTCGCTGGATCACTGAATGCAGATGCATCTAACTTACTTTGGATAAGAGAGAGGATACTGAGGCGATGTTAAATCGTAGCTATAATATTCAGTTGCATCCAGATTTTGCGACTCACAAACTGAAACAAACGAATAGTCAAATATTTAAAATACATTCACCTCGTCTCACGAATGTACAATTATATCCCTTTGGCAATATCAGACATTTGTAATTGTATCCAGCCAGCTATATCACTGTTGTATTTGTGTTGAGTTGTGTTGTGTTGTATTTAAATAGGGACGATAGCTAAAAGTGTCTTAGACATTTTGGCGAGACGAGTGAGCTTGGGTATAAGACTGACAAGCCTAGAATTCGGATCGAATCATATGTTTTCTACAACATCAACATGGTACGACTTGGATGCTAGTGTCCACTGACAAAACAGACAACTGACAAAAATTAGAAAATATAATACAATCTTCATAATATCAGATACTGTAAATAGAATACTCGCGATCGTACATGTCATTCGGAATTTGATCTAAAACAGAAACTACTCTTAAAACACGTGCATCTCTGGGTACTTCCTAGAAGTTTCACAAGTATGGGACACATTGACAAATGCCCTTCCGTTCTACTGTAACACTTCAAATTTTAATTACACTTTTACAGGATTGTTAGGTTTAAGTGAATTAAACGTGGTAATGTATTTATTGACTCATCGGTGCTTTCAGAAGATTTACTATCCCTGAATGTAGTGTGGGGCGGTAGGGTAGCCTGTTGGTGAAGCGTTTGCTCGTCACGCTGAAAACACGGGTTCGATTCCCTATATGGGTACAATGTGTGAAGCCCATTTTCGGTTCCCTTGAGACTCAAGTACAACATGTATATCTGCGTAAATGAGACCAAAATTATCAGGGAGATATATATTACACACACACGCACACACACATTTCTCTTGGGATTATCTTCATCCTAAATGATCCCAAAACTGATGTTTTGAGTTTTAACCTATATTCCACAAATTGCAATATGACAGGAACATTTGAAGACATTTTTGCCTTTTTCATAAATGACAACGAACATTCCAGAAGTACTCACCGTCGTAATTACCCCCAGTGGCAGACAGCTTGAAACCTGTTCCTGTAGCCCCGGAACTACCAGAGTAGAATCGTATTCTCATATTGCGCCCTGAACTTACGAATGTTCGGTCGTAAGTTCCACAAAGGGGAACCCACTTCTCCGGCATCTGAATATATGTTGTAACGACAATAGCATACTCTTTCACGCAAGAAACCCAGAAAATTCTATAAGACGTTATTAGTGACTGTCATAAGACGAAAATTGAAAAGCGTCACTTCAACAGAGAGTATCGTGTTAATAGGAAATCTCATAATTATGTAGATGACGAATAATAGTGTACAGCAATTATTATACACGTGTTTTAGTGTGTGTATTTGAAGTTTGAAAACATACACTGCCGTATTATTCTCAGCTTACTGCAACACACACTTCATTCCTACCGTCATTAATCGAAATAGTATCCAAAGAACAGTCATGGGATGCTCGGAAACTGTTCACCAGAACATTTAGTTTGATGTTGACGTAATGATCTGCTGTTAAGTACCACCAACAATTCCTATGCCTGAAATTTAAAAGAAAACGGGATTTGAATAACCAAACACTCTGCAATTCCAGACCAAAACACACAAAAAGTATTTCAGTTATATCATGGTGTGTCAGCTTGCTTGATGTCCCGAAGAGATGTAGGTCTTAGGCGTTTACCAAACTGTGGTAAAAAGAACGGGTAGAGTTCCGAAAAAAACAACTGAACGAAGCAAATCTTTGCTTCTTGCTTATAGGATGCTCAAGGGAAGCAACTGAGGACAGCTAATTGCGCCGGATAAGACATCTGGATCCAAATCCAGTTTACGGTAAAACTGCTTGAGCACATTAAGCACTATTCATTTGCTGACAGATTATACCCTACACTCAATATAACTACAGTACAGTTCATGCACAATAAACAACGATGTAAGGCAACAGATGGCAGTGACGTGATCATCACATTAGACATATGCAAGTCTGGTTAACAGTAAAGAACGAACATTTCGTCGTATGATTTACGACATACACCAGTGCCATACTGCGTCAGTTGATCGGTTTGATGACACCAATGGGCACCACGTGGTGCTTACAGACAAATGGATGAATCTTAACTACGGATCTTTGAACTTCAGTGGACACAACTATAACAGCTGCGGGTCATTAGCCTATTAGGTCAAGTTCCCTTTACATGTATGATACTCAATCCATTTAGATCAGTTATAAGAGAATCTACCTTGGGTAAGTAACAGGATACATTGGTGAGTAGATCATGGTTCCCGACGCTGTTACAGAGACGTTTGTACTACAGACGTAGGGTGCTGTAATTAGAATGGGTGTGGATATGTTAGTTGTATGAAGCTCCCGAAGAATTATCTACGAGAAATATACAGTAAAATCACCTGTAAATACGTAAATATGTAATCAAGATCATTGTTACCCGCTTCCATAAGAGCATTTGCCGAGGTCTTGTGGGATTGCTAGAAGGACAGGGTGATCTGCAGGTCTCCTGTTCGGAGCAAGTGTCAACAACCATCATCGACATGATAATTTTGCGCGCTATCGTTCATGAGAAAGAAATCTTGTCCGATTGCAGCAAACTGGAGACCCAGTTCCAAGCATTAATACGACTAGTTCTTAGGTCGCCTTTGATGCAAAGGATGCATATTCCCATTCATTTGTTTTCTGCAATTCCCTGACAATGATGCGCTACTGATGAGATTATGTTCAGATACATCGAAAAAAAGGTGTGTTAAGGCCTTGTCACACAATGATCATGCTACTGACTGCGTTTCCGTTCATCATGAAACTGGGATCCAATTCGGTTACCAATCATTGTGTCCAAGGATATTTCAGTCCATATTTGTTGAACCCTTTTCCGTATGATCCAATGTAAATTGAACATAATGAATGAATATAATACTCACTTTCTGTCATTGAATATTTCAGACGGAAACCTTTTTCATTTGTAACTCCATCAGTTTTGAAGATTATTAACATGGCATTTCCCGTACTTTGAAATGTTGGAGCTCTGTCATCACACCAGTTTTCAAGAAGAGAACTTTGATTTGTGGCACCTGAAAAAAAACGTGACATGTGAAACTGACATAGTTGAAATATAAATCCATAAACATAAACTCTACATTTAGAATCTGATTCATTTTCGCCTTTATGTACATATGAGTTTTTAATCTTTCTTATTCCTATATTCATAAATTTCCGCTCAATATTTACAAAACTCATGTGAATAATATTTGTGTCGGCTAAAGTTCATGCTGTCCATAACGATTTCGGGTATTATCGCCCTGAAGTGACCGAGGTATTTCGGTCATGTCGTACGCTCCAGGTAGATGCCTGAAGAAAACCGAAGTCACATAGGATTGAAATGTTTTCCTCGTTGGTTAAACGACTTTTTCCGGCAGTATGGTTATACCCAAGACGACTCTGGGATTTGAACTGACCAACAGCGGATCTAAGGCAGAGCAAATGCATCAGAGAAAACGCCAGTGTGTGAGACGGTGTCTCCTCCACATAGATTATGTTCAGTCCGTGTATATGCAGTTAAGAAAAAATGGAAATTAGAGTACAAGTTGTTTTTAGTTGCATCAGTAACAATTAACAATCAGTTATTTACGGCGATGCAAAGTTAACAGGCTTCACAATTTTGGTAAAGTACACAAATGTATGTAGCCCACCGTCGAAGGCTTTCACAATATCATAGCGACATGATGTAGAGGATTCCACATCTGAATCAAGGACTTCCACATGGATCATCTTCCCTCGGGGCGCTGATATGTGCCAGATACAATACAGGTACCTAGAAACCAAATCAACGTCAACATTTTACATGAACACATACATACATACATACATACATACATACATACATACATACATACATACATACATACATACATACATACATACGTACATACGTACATACGTACATACATACATGCATTTAAGGCAGAATACCAGCTTTTAAATACACACATTCACAAAAGGATCAAACAGGCAAAACAGGCAGATGAACACAAATATACGTACGAAAAGTATCGGTTAGGATAGCCTGGCGATGTTATGTACTGAACGGTTTCTGTCGCAGTCAGGTATGTATCCTCACAGTGGTTCGGTCTAACTGTGGCTCTAGTCGTAGTTGTGGTTGTAGTTGTTGCTGTGGTTAAGAAAATACAGTCATGCAACAGTTTACCTCATCTGGAATTGACAACAAATGACATTAAAGACCTTTACTGTTCATATTGTCAAACGACAAGGGTGGGGGGTAGCCTAGTGCTTAAAGCGTTCGCTAGTCACGCCGAAGACCCGGGCTCGATTCTCCACATGACTATAATGTGTGAAGCCCATGAACGACCATGAGTACACCAAAGACATATGACTTAGCCAATTAATTTACATGGATAAAGCATTCGTTCGTCACGCCAAAACTCGGGTTCGATTTCATGCATGGGCAGAATGTCTGATGTCAATTTCTAGTGACCCCGTGAGAATGCTGAAATATTGCTCGAAGCGGCGTAAAACAATATTCATAATTGAGTCGTATACTTGGTTTGAAACTATATATATTTCGAGAACAAACGCGGGGATAGAACGGTGATGTTTTTTTGTGAGTAAGCTTTATCTGAACAGCATTTCAGTTGTACTGGGGTAGTATAACTCGCAAGCTTTATAGTGCAGGGGCTTATGTAGCAAAAATGCTTTCCGTGGGAAGTACATGATTGTTAATTGTTGGAACCACTGATAATTGTAACCAGTATTGCATATGGATTCAGAAAAAACATGGTTCCATGTTTTCTGATGATCATAAGTGTCATTTTGGGATAACTGAACATCGGTACCCATAAGGCCATCCACGTATTTTTTAATGTTTCTCATCTCCAAACTGGTGCTGATGAGGGGCGGGCGGGCGAAAAGAAATACAATCCTTTTTTCTCAGTTTTAGACAGTTTCTATATCATTAATCGTAAGGAACCCTTATGGAATACTTATGCTACAAACTTTTAATGGAGCATCTTTAAATGTCACATTGTATAAAAACTGTCACTTTCTTTATTTTTGGAGAGATTTATCACTTTTTGTAGGTTTTTTGGCCACTGGTCAAAGGCTGTCGTCCACTGGTAGCTCACAGTTTGTTTAATTCCAAGCGCAATACGAATTGCGACGATGAAAGGTAACGGGAAAACGCCTTGAAAAATCGGTATATTGTCACGGCATTTCCTACGACAGAACACGAGACAGTGTACGTCTCCGGTGTCATGGCATCTATGAAATAATGTACACTCACTTTATATATCAGCCCTTATGTTATTTCCGACGGCAATTCTTCAACTATTGCCGCATTCAAATTTAACAATTAGTTCTCATGCATACTACCACCGACCTCAATGTAAAAAGAATCGGAGATACACCTCCAACCAACGGACCTGTACCTCCCTGGAAGGCCTTTAGCGCAAATTTGTGTTTATTACACATCCCTGACAATTGAAGAAATTCTGTGTAGAATGTAACCTTTAATTATAAATCTGAATAGTACGTTTTAATCAGCAGTTCTTCACACATTTCCTTTTGTTTTCAAATTCTGACACTATGTTTCGGACGCATACTTAATATACCATACACTTATTATCCAATTAGTCGGTTGCAGCATAAATACCAGTCATCATAGTTTGAAATAAAAGATTTAGCCCTTACAAAATGTGCCCATCAGTCAGTGCTGTGAGTCATCATATATGTTAATTCATTGACCCATTTCTTACAAAGGTTTAACACCATTCAACCTCTAAACATAAGTACTCATTTACAGAGATTTGTCCCACAAGCAACGGATCATTCTGACCACCCAAGAGGATGTGTATGATAGAATTATATGTGTATAACATGACATATGTATCTTCTTGTTTTAGTAACATTATGTTGATAAAATATTTCACGTGACAGACCATATACTATCTAGCTATAGCTTTATATTCTGATTTTCATTCAACGGTTCTAAGGAAAACTTTAGTGTTATGCCTGTTTGTTAGGAAGTAACATAGAAAATGTGTTTAAAATCAAATATGCTTTTGATGACATCAATTCCATGTAGATATGTGTATGCATTATTTATTTTGTCACAAATTTAACAGATAATACTTATGTACAATGACTGAATAAAGTCATGCATGTGTAATGTAATATTAAAGTACACACGCACCAAAAATACAAAAATATCAGATAAAATTCACGACGAAATTCACACGTTGCACAACAATGTTTTGACATTTCGCGCACTATATTAGCTCCCAAGCGTACTGAATTACATGAATAGGCTCATCGGCGTAATACGATATAGATTTCAGTACAAATGCAGAAATACACTGCAGGCTTAAAAGTGTGATATTCAGATATCTAGTGCCAGATTTGAATTTCCGATTGCAAAACGTCAACAAAATGACAAAATATGACGTGAAAACGATCAGCTGATTCCACCGCCTCGCTTCGAATGGCCGTTTTGCCATTCATTAACGCAATATAAGCAGTCGTGACTATCCCCGGTGTATCATGGAATCACATAACAAATATTTCAGGATATCACACTTGACATATCATCGGTCAAACGAAATAAATATACTGTTCACATGCACCAGCATGAACGTTAACGGTGATGGTGAAGGCTATACTGGTTAACTGTCTCAAAGTGTTTAGTAACAAGTACAGCTCCCATCGCGCATAAGACATGCGCTGTCAGTTTAAGGTTGGACCGTCCGGATCAGCGCTCTAAGCTGATTAGTGAAGGGAAGATAAATTCAAAAAGATCCCCCATTTAGATGCTTGAGAAACTTTCCCAAATAGTATATTTTTTTCAAAGTTGACTTTTAAGACACATTTTTCGTTTGATCGGGCTGAAATTATTGCTGTCGGCGGCATTTTGTAAAATATAAATTTTTTGTTCCGTCCGAAGGAAAATTTGGGTCGGTCGGGAGATGAGAAACACAGACGAAAATACGGACGGCCTAATCAAGCTGCAACACCAATGTGAGAAAAACATATTTTTATAAACGTATCACAACATAAACATGTAGTATATCTAAATGTACCTTGTTATGTGTGTTTTACAATTACCATTATGCATCATGAATCTCAATAATATATGTATGCATAATAATCAATATGATCATAATTGCTTCTGCCAAAACCAAAGGTTTGTTGCAGAGGGTATGCTTTCAAACCCCCCCCCCCCCACACACACACCTCTGTGTGTGTGGTGTGTGTGTGTGTGTGTGTGTGTGTGTGTGTGTGTGTGTGTGTGTGTGTGTGTGTGTGTGTGTGTGTGTGTGTGTGTGTGTGTTTATTTATGTGTTGGTCTCTTAAATCAAAACTACTGGATGGATTTCAGTGAAACCTATTGGATCTCTTGTGTATGTCCCCAGGTCAAATCAATTAGATGTTGAAGAAAGTACACTCTTCAAAAAAAAGAAACGCAAAAGCTAAATATCATTGAAAAAATTGGTTATAATCAATTATGTAAATCAACGAATTTAAATGGTACAGCATTGAAATTATGCAGAGCAATACATTGATATCTTGTGCATATTTCACAAGAATGATAGTCATCATAGTCATTACTGCTCTCTAGGAGGTGACGTTGACGTTACTACCTTGGATATCATATGTGCCAATGCTAGAACTGCACGACACCTCCATGACACAGACTGAATCAGTTGTTGGATGTTTCGTTGTGGAATCCTTCTCCATACCTCCCGCACCATGCTGAACAACAGTTACTGATAAAGCCTCAATGGCGGATTACGACGTTGACGTACACGTCTATCTGTCTGAGCCTACAGGTAATCCATTGGTTTCAGATCCTTGGATCTGGAGGGCCAGGGGAGGACATTGATGTTGTTATTGTCCAGGGGCTCCTTTCACGAAGCAACCTTTACTAAGGTTAACCTTAACTCCCATTCTTTAACATTGCACTAAGTTTACCTTAGTGACTTACACCTTAGTGCAATGTTAAAGAATGGGAGTTAAGGTTACCCTTAGTAAAGGTTGCTTCGTGAAAGGAGTCCCTGGTAGTCCACTGTAGCACGTGCTGTGTGAGGTCTGGCGTTGTCCTGTTGGTATAGCTCCCTTTGGCGGTCGACAAGACAATGCAGTCCAGACACAATTATTAACATACCAACGTCATATAGCTGGAATATTGCTGAGTGCGGGGTAAACCTATACTCACTCATTGACTCAAAACAAAGCGCAACTGACACCAGGAGGTCATTTGACGAAACAACGCAAGGCTGCAGCATATAACTTGGAAAACTCACTTGGTCCTGGCACCTGTTGGTACGAGACACGGAAAGCAGGTCCGGATTCGTTAGGGGATGAATTGAAGGTAATCCAAACGTAAGATCTGGCAGACTCATACACCGTACTATTTTCTGGATCGCCATCCGTGCATATTGCAATTTGTTGAACCGAAGATGAACCTTAAAATATACAAGACAGATTTGACAGAATGCCCACGTGAATATAACCATGTCTATTAGTGTGCGCCCACGTGCCACGTTTTGTGTTATTATTGCTTTTCATATCTGGTTTAGGGTGCAGTGGGGTAGGCTAGTGGTTAAAGTGTTCGCCCGTCAAGCCGAAGACCCGGGTTCGATTCCCGACATGGGTATAATGAGTGAAGCCTATTTCAGGTGTCCCCCACCGTGATATTGCTGGAATGTTGCTAAAACCAAACTCACTAAAACCCATTTCTGGTTAACTTACTGTCAGTCAAAACCAAAACATCGGTGGAGGTACAATTCTCGAGACCGTTTTCCAGTTCGACAAAGACTCGGATCTTCATATAGAGTGCGGTAGTTGATATTCTCCAGCTGCAGGTGAGGTTACTGCAGAGAAATCAATACACAATTGAACCGGGTCATCTTGAAGTCGAGTTTTGAGAAGTAATCTAGTTATACTTATTTCTAGAAGAGAGGAGTACGGGTCAAGGTTAAGGTCGAAACGTCAAAAAGATATCCGAAAATATTCCTGTACTTTTCTCAAGGATCGATGTTTAGACTTTCTATGTATTCATGTGCAATTATTGAATTTAGATGAATGATGTGGAAATGTGATACTGTGTTTTCACCAGTCGGAATCAAGCCTTCTCCAGTGTCATGGTAGAACGGAATATGCTTCGATGCCTTATATAAGGAGGTAACGAAGTCTCACTTCAGTAGTTCTTAGTGCCAAAAACAAGTGCTAGAATTAGTACAAGGCGGGATTATGGATTTTCGCCCAGTGTATGATCGGGGAATATTCAAAGACTGCTATTCCCTCGCATAAGCGTTTCAATATGATCTTGCTTCATGTGCTGAAAGAAGATAAAAAGTGGTACGATCACTTATGGTTCTGGCTTGATCTCATAATCACATCCTGCCACAACCAAGGGCCACAACCGTCCATATTTAATTGCGGCGACCTAAGTATCAAATTATTAGGTATAAACACTATAACGGTTAGTAGTAGGTGATAGTGTTCATTTTTAATGTATCATGTAGAACATCAAAACAAACATGTATGATGTTAGCCAACTGTAAATAATTTCAGTATCCATCGAGGAATATATTACAATTTAAGTACAAGGATCTATGAATACAATGGTAAAAGGGTTCATTTTAATTTCTTTTGAATTTTTATTGCAATCTGTTTTCGGAATTTGAATCAGGTCAAACTGAAAACAATAATTATCGTTAATAATGTGACCAACACATACTTACAAACATGCCAAGTTATTGATCTTATGATCAAACTCGATGATTATGAGAACCGTGTCAAGCTGACAATGACATAGTTATTATGTTGCTCATCTCTCTTACCTTTCATAAGAATCTGGGTAACCACGAGAGTACACATAAGATGGGTAGTCGTAGGCCCTCAAGTACGAACTGCATAATGTTGCTGAAATAGATATAAACTTGTTGTGTATAGCAGTGATAAATAATGCAGATTTCCAACGCCCCAAATTTCTTCATAGTATCAGTACGTTACCATTAACCATAGCAGTGCGTATAGTAATTTTAATTCATAAAATAAGTGCTGAAGTGTCACTGGATTTTCTGGTTTGACAATCCCAAACTTGATCTTTTCACAAACAATGGTCATGATAAAGCTGGAATGTTGGGAAGGCCCCAAACTCACACATTCACCATACATTATTATTTGTTCCCAGTTAAATCAGAGTGTCCCAGCAATCCATTCATGTCGAAAGTGGACCGGCTATGTGAAATGGCTATGTGACTTGTTTGATAGCATACAGTCGTATCCCAACTGCGTGACTCAATGCTCAGTGATATGTGTATCACTGACTTGGTTATTTTACAAGCCCCCGTCATATATTTGGACCATTGATGGTAGCGTTTCACCAGAAGAGCAAACCCACCTATTATCAAGATGACAGCAAACGTTCCAGACAATAATGCCATATATCCTTATACATACCTGGCATGGATGTGTACGATATGTTAAACCCCTTGTCCACCAATTCACTGTCAGTTTCGAAACGCAGGCTTATCGTATCTCTGGGACTCTGAACCAAAAACAATGGGCTTGTTGTCGAGCATATTGTAGTAAGCAACAGCTCATCTGAAAACAAAATAACAGAACTATAACCCTTGTCACGTCTGACAATTGTGTCTGATCCGAACCCGTAAAACAAGACGTATTAAGACAATTATTATTATCGACTGTGACTGCTCAACAGTGGTCGGGAATAGTTTGAACGCGTGCTACGCTCTCCTTTCGTGATTTTGGTGGTTAAAAATGATAAATACACAAAATTCGACGTGTTGGTGCAGATTCCATCATCGTTATCAGACAACTGCTATACATACTATGAGTGTAACCATACCTCTACATGTTCCATTAACGATCATCGATCAATGAGTGAGTGAGCATGGTTTTACTCCGCTTTCAGCAACATTCCAGCAATATCACGGCGGGGACACAAGCAATGGGTTTCACACATTGTACCCATGTGTGGAATCCAACCCGGGTCTTCGGCGTCACGAGCGAACGCTTTAACCACTTGGCTACCTCACCGCCCCTCGATCATTGATACCAAAACAAATAGTTAAATATTTTGAAGAGATCACCATGTGTAATGATTAATCATACTTACTATGCGTATCGTTGAGGAAAAATATTTTAAAAAATCGCTTGAACATGTCGAAGAACCCTGGAGCTTCAAAGATGATATATATATTGACATAGTCTCGGACTCGTTCTGGGAGTGTATGGTCCACTCACATGTCTGATTGCTGAAACAAATATATGCTTTAAAGAATCCAGACCGATGGCGTCTGCATTAAAATCAACCTTCTGTTGTAAACATCTGTAAATTTTGCTATCAGTCTCTCTTTAAAATAATTCTGCAAAATTATATAATTTCTCATAATGTTCTTTAATGCCGCATACAAAGACGAGGGACTGTTTGAAACTACCATATCTAATAAGGAAAGAAAACGTTTCAAATAATAGTTAATCTCATTAGTCTTCATTTGAGTATGACCTGTTTTGTCCCTGGTTGTGGGCTGTTGTTATAAGCGTCCCTTCTGTACTCACTTGAAATAGTTTCGGGGATACCCGGGTGAAGTGAGATGATTGAATGTAGAATTGGCATCAAGAACACCTCCGCAGGATTTGTTAACTGAATGCATTGGGTACATGCGAGTGAGTGAATGTGTTCATGGCTGCTGTATTTACATCTAGACATAACATGGTAGATCACAGAAATTACCAGTTAGACATAACTTCCAGAAAGCATGAATTTGGGGTCTTTGGATGTGTAAAAACACTTCTGGCGGAAAGGCGTCTACAAGAATAAACAAACTCTACTGTAACGTCTACAACACCATCCATCGTGGTCTTTGAGAGATGTTTTCACCCTGTTTAGGAAAAACAACAACTACATTTGTTGTTTCTGAGTCTAAAATTAAAAATAAATTAATGTCCTTCATAATAAAACTTGCCAACCCCTTCTTTATATTTATTTAAACTACTACATAGACAAAGGTTCAAATCCATGGGGCCTGACACATCCCTTCATATCCTCCAAACATTTAGGTTTTGAATATACTTAAACCCGTTCTTAGCATAGCAATAAATAATGAATATAAATGTGTGTTAGTGTGCAAGTGGTTTGTATATTTTTGAGTGTATATGTTTGAGTATATATAGGGTATTGTGCAAATATATGTATTGTGTAAATAAATAGATTGGTATTGTGATTTATGTACTATATACAAGCTCCTTTGAACAGCTGATTGCTATTCAATGTTACCTTTTTCTGATGAGAAAGCCAAAGAATATGATGTTTCGGGTCCAACATAATCACGGTATGCAGCAATAAACATGGTATCCCCTGAACTGACTAGATATCAATCCGTTAGTCGCTCACAGAAAGTAGCCAGTAGTGGACTTGTTGTCCCCGGGCCTGGAAGACAAAATCTGTGCATTCACATGTGGTGAATTGTGATTTGCATGAAATAAAATTCTGCTTTGAGACCAAGTTAAACCATTTAAAGTCACCATTGTCAACTGTTACAACAAGAAATAATTGTTGTAAAGTGTGTAAAATTGTAAAAGAATCATTCCTATGACTTCACTCTTTTAAAACATTGTCTGCGGATTTGCATTAGTAGAAACATGTAAACCGTGTCTTTGATATTGTGAAAAAGTGTTTAGGAATATCTAAAATTATCTTTGTTAACAATTTTGCTTGCAAAGTAACATTTTTTCATTTTTAGCTTACACATAGCAATATCAATCGTCAAAACGTAGCAATATTGAAGCAGTATTTGCATCTGTTTCACGTATAGAATGATTATATATGGTATAAAGAGAAAGAAGAATGCATGACATGATACACAATTACGAGTAATATGCCACGATTAACAGTGAAGAGAGAGAAAGAGCCATTTGGATGGTGCAGATGGGGTCGACATAACTGATTTTGCCAACGCCCTCGGATGCCACCGTATCACGTTTATAACACTTATTCAGCGCTACAGACAGACTGGGATCACCGTAGACAGACCAAGAAGTGGACGTCCACGCATCACAACGCCAGGAGAAGATAGGTACCTCCTTCATTAACGAGTGAGTGAGTTTGGTTTTACGCCACACTCAGCAATATTCCAGCTATATGGCGGCGGTCTGTAAATAATCGAGTCTGGACCAGACAATCCAGTGATTAACAGCATGAGCATGGATCTGCGCAATTGGGAACCGATGACATGTGTGAACCAAGTCAACGAGCCTGACCACCCGATCCCGTTAGTCGCCTCTTACGACAAGCTTAGTCGCCTTTTGTGGCGTTGGTGAAGATCTATTCTACCCCGGATCTTCACGGGTCCGTCATTAACGAAGGATGGTAACGTTTCTTTTGGCGTTTAGTGTATATTAACATGCATACCAGTTTACACACGCACGCACGCACGCACGCACGCACACATACGATATCTATTGTATGATGATAGCGATGAAACACTGTGTCCATTCGCAAAGTTAACTTACCATCATATAGGGTTAAGTAACCGGAGGCGCACGAAGACCACCAGTAGTGCTTCTCGAACTTTACTATATGTAAGACGATGTTCATGTCTGGGTTTTGGGCTTGTAACTTCCACCATACATAAAATGTCACACTGAAAAGAAATTTATCATTTAAAGGGCACATCATATCATCCTCTGTATACATTGAGCTCTCGGTGAATCTTCACTAACCCCGAGGTCCATTCCAGTGGTTTTCGCAATCTCAAATTGAACGTACTTGATTTTCATTGGTCAGTTTGATGTGTCACACTATTCAGTCAGACGGACCAATCAGAATTCGAGTGACAAACCAGTTCCAATGTTGGGTTTAAGGATCAACAGCATGGCAACCATTCCCACTGGTTCGACTTTGCGATATAATTCGACATTGAGCAAATGTGTCAAATGCAAAAGCCCTCAGAAATCATAATTTGTTTTGAAGACATGTCTTCATGTCCATTGTGACTGCTGGTGACTTGAGGTTATAAGCAATACCAATTACTTCCTTTATCTGTTTCCTTTGTTCTTTAGTTGTGGTGGGGTAGCCTAATGGTAAAAGTGTCCGTAAGTCACGCAGAAGACCGGGCTTCGACCCTTCACATGGGTACAATGTGTGAAGTCTACTTCTGGTGTACCTCGCCTTGATATTGCTGGAATATTGCAAAAAAGGGTAAAACCACACTCTCTCACTCACTCACTTGTCCCTTGTTCCTCATCTCGACGTTGTACTGGTCAGTAATAAAAATGCAAAGTAATTTCAGACTTTGGGGATTGATCCAGGAGTAAATGAATATTCCCGGGATGTGACCTCTGTAGATAGAGAGGATGACATCAAATGTGCAACAACTATAGTGAGTGTGTGAGATAGCAGATGCGAACTGCATCATCTTCATCAGAATACCATACTGATAAGCAAAAGCATTTCGTTACATTGTACTAGTGGTACTAATTATACCCTATATACTACCACTTCTGATATGTTTGGGTGAAGGCATGGATTGCTCATCTGTCTAAGACACTCCAATTCGCTGGCCAAGGTTGAGTCCCTTAGTCGTGCAAAAACGTATGACGTAGGTTCGAATCACAGTTTCACTTTCATCATGTTTATGGGGTTTTCAACTCCTCCCCAGTGGGTTCCACTTGTCCCGGTGGTAGCCGTATAAGACCTGGATCTGCTTGGACGATAAGCACTATTCCATCAATACCATGACAGGAGTGAGTGAGTGAGTGAGTATGGTTCAACGCCGTTTTTAGCAATATTCCAGCAATATCACGGCGGGGAACACCAGAAACCATGACAGGAAGCACAAGAGAAGGGCTTTAGACATTGTAGGGAATCGAAATCGGGTATTTGGACTTTCGAGCGAACGCTTTAACCACAACCCCACTGCCCCTTTGGACTTTAGTGAGTGAGTGAGTGAGTTTGGTTTTACGCCGCTTTTAGCAATATTCCAGCAACATCACGGCGGGGGACACCAGAAATGGGCTTCACACATTGTACCCAAGTGGGGAATCGAACCCGGGTCTTCGGCCAACGCTTTACCCACTAGGCTACCCCACCGCCCCCCTTTGGACTTTAAGCTGACATAGTATTACAGTGATATTATTGTTTCAAACATGATGCACACCGGTCTTCTGCGTTTGTAGCTACATGAACACAAATAATTATTTCAGCGGCGGGGTAGCCTATTGGTTAGTGCGTTCGCTCGTTACGCCGATGAACTGGTTTCGATTCCACACATGAGTAGAATGTGTGAAGCCCACTGCTCGTGTCACAATTTCACAATTATGTCAGTTCTGCGTTTTTCAGTGTTGTTATGCCCTCTCTACTTTGATAATTAAATGCCATTGACCTGTTAGTTTTTTTTCGGAAGGGTTGTCGCGACCTACAGCACACAATTATTCTCGCTTGTGACAGCAATTTGGTTTGAATGGCTTTTTTTAGCTACATCAAAGCTGGCTCCACATCAAAGAAGTGGTCGAGGGTATGTATCATGTTAGAATGAACAGCTAGTACAATGGTTAATCGAGAATAGATTAGGACCAACAAATATATAGGATGCAAAAGCGTACATACGGCAGAGTTGCACGAAACACATGTGATAGAGCGTGTGTTGCTGTTTCGTTCACCAGTAACGTCTTGTTGACCGTTGCTATTACTGAAAAAAACCCAAAAAAACCAAACTCACAGATTCTATTTTGAACTTGAGACAGGTGAAGCATGCTGTATTTATTTGGAGAACATGATCAATATTTGGAGATGAGCGAAGCCATTATGAGAAACTACCTGGGATATTGCTGAGTGACTCGTTAAAAACCAAACCAAACAATCAGGGAGCTTAACGTTTTAACGGGTATAACAAACACATATATAACAGTTTAACAATCGAAATGTTTCAATCTGAGTGTATTCTGTGACTTAGACGGGAATAACAGACACCAATGTATAAGGTTAGCAACTAGATCTCGTAATGTGTCAGCCTGAGTGTATAGACGGAAATAGCAGACACCAATACAACAGGTTAACGATAGAAATGTGTCAATTTTAGTGTATATTGTTATTTAGACAGGAATAGCAGACAACAATGTACACAGATTAGCAACCAGATATCGAAATGTTTAAATATTAGTGTATATTGTGACTTAGACGGAAATAGCAGACAACAATATAAGAGGTTAACCATGGAAATGTGTCAATTATAGTGTATATTTTTATTTAGACGGGAATGGCAGACACCAATATAAGACGTTAACAACCAGAATTCGAAATGTTTCAATATTACTGTATACTGTAACTTAGACGGGAATAGCAGGCAACAATGTACAGGTTAACAACCAGATATGTTGCAATATCAGAGTATACTGTGATTCAGAAGGGAATAGCAGGCAACAATATACAGGTTAACAACCAGATATGTTGCAATATCAGAGTATACTGTGATTTAGAAGGGAATATCAGGCAACAATGTACAGGTTAACAACCAGATATGTTGCAATATCAGAGTATACTGTGATTTAGAAGGGAATAGTAGGCAACAATGTACAGGTTAACAACCAGATATGTTGCAATATCAGAGTATACTGTGATTTAGAAGGGAATAGTAGGCAACAATGTACAGGTTAACAACCAGATATGTTGCAATATCAGAGTATACTGTGATTTAGAAGGGAATATCAGGCAACAATGTACAGGTTAACAACCAGATATGTTGCAATATCAGAGTATACTGTGATTTAGAAGGGAATAGCAGGCAACAATGTACAGGTTAACAACCAGATATGTTGCAATATCAGAGTATACTGTGATTTAGACGGGAATAGCAGACAACAATGTACAGGTTAACAACCAGATATGTTGCAATATCAGAGTATTCTGTGATTTAGAAGGGAATAGCAGGCAACAATGTACAGGTTAACAACCAGATATGTTGCAATATCAGAGTATACTGTGATTTAGACGGGAATAGCAGGCAACAATGTACAGGTTAACAACCAGATATGTTGCAATATCAGAGTATACTGTGATTTAGAAGGGAATAGCAGGCAACAATGTACAGGTTAACAACCAGATATGTTGCAATATCAGAGTATACTGTGATTTAGACGGGAATAGCAGGCAACAATGTACAGGTTAACAACCAGATATGTTGCAATATCAGAGTATACTGTGATTTAGACGGGAATAGCAGGCAACAATATAAGAGGTTAACAACCAGATATGTTGCAATATCAGAGTATGCTGTGATTTAGACGGGAATATCAGGCAACAATGTACAGGTTAACAACCAGATATGTTGCAATATCAGAGTATACTGTAACTTAGACGGGAATAGCAGGCAACAATGTACAGGTTAACAACCAGATATGTTGCAATATCAGAGGTATACTGTGATTTAGACGGGAATAGCAGGCAACAATGTACAGGTTAACAACCAGATATGTTGCAATATCAGAGTATACTGTGATTTAGACGGGAATAGCAGGCAACAATGTACAGGTTAACAACCAGATATGTTGCAATATCAGAGTATACTGTGATTTAGACGGGAATAGCAGGCAACAATGTACAGGTTAACAACCAGATATGTTGCAATATCAGAGTATACTGTGATTTAGAAGGGAATAGCAGGCAACAATGTACAGGTTAAAAACCAGATATGTTGCAATATCAGAGTATACTGTAACTTAGACGGGAATAGCAGGCAACAATGTACAGGTTAACAACCAGATATGTTGCAATATCAGAGTATACTGTGATTTAGACGGGAATAGCAGGCAACAATGTACAGGTTAACAACCAGATATGTTGCAATATCAGAGTATACTGTGATTCTGAAGGGAATAGCAGGCAACAATATAAGAGGTTAACAACCAGATATGTTGCAATATCAGAGTATACTGTGATTTAGACGGGAATAGCAGGCAACAATGTACAGGTTAACAACCAGATATGTTGCAATATCAGAGAATACTGTAGCTTAGACGGGAATAGCAGGCAACAATGTACAGGTTAACAACCAGATATGTTGCAATATCAGAGTATACTGTGATTTAGACGGGAATAGCAGACACGTTAACAGTCTGATATTGAAATCTTTGAAAATTAGTGTAAAACGTGACTTAGACGGGGGATAAAACATCAGTAGACAGGCTAACAACCATATATCGACTTGTTTCAACATCAAGGTATACTGTGACTTCGACCGGAATACCAGACACCAATATAACAGGTTAGCAACCAAAGATCGTGATGTTTGAATCATGGGGTCACTCTTTGACTTAGACCTAGATAGCAGACGCCAATACTATAGGCTAACAACTGTTTCGATATCAGTGTACAGTTTTAAACGCTTGTAACAAACGTACACATCTGTAAGGGATCACAACCGGAGATCTTGTGACTTTAACTGGTTTGACTTTTCCTCGGAATCTTAAACAGATTCAAAAGAATACATTATAAGAGACAACAACGAGAGACCTTCGTGATCTATATCAGTATTCTCTGTGGCCTAAACGGCTATAACCTGTTTATGCCTTAATCTAGGGAAACAGAAATCAGCTTTAGGCATGGCAACTAGGGTTGAAACGGGTAGTAATTGAAAGTACTCGAGTACTCGCCTTCAACTACTCGCGAGTACTCGAGTACTCGTCCTCGAGACTGCGTCTTTGTTTCAGGTACGAATTATCAGCTATTGTGTTTTCTTTTAAAAAAAATGATCCCATCTGACTATCCAAGTGTTGTTATGTCATGCGTACATTATATTTGAAGCTCATTGAATAAGAAATAGACAATGGAACCGCCCTTACGTAATTAACACCATGTACTGTGTTATGATTTATTCTCAAACTGATCAGTAATTGTATGATCTACGGGCATGAATAAATGACACAAGTTTGAATACAACTTTAAACTTTGGAGCGTGATTTGCCATATTGGGGCTGACACAACTACACGTGGAGTGAGAGGGGAGATAATTCTTCTTGGACGAGTACTCGAGTAGTATTTTACTACTCGAGTAATGCTTCTACCCGCCTCTTACTCGAATACCCGGGTAACCGTTTCAGTCCTATGAGCAACATCATACTGATTAAATGTTACAACTTGACCAGATGATTTTATCGCGGTATGCTTCCTTCTCTGGAGGTTGCAAGTAACGATTTCGAAAAGATTATGAAAGAACTACTCAGTTTAGTTTCCTCGACATTTAAAGCAAAATATTACAATCGTTTAATTACAATGCGCCTACGATCCGAGTCTGGATGCTGCCAATCCGATATTATGTAGTTAGTTGTAAAAACGATAAACAAGATAAGACGGTATAACATTATGCAGCCTTTGAATTGACAAAACGCAGACCCGAAACCAGTTACAAATACTGTCTGTTAATGTCTGTAACATAATAATGTCTATGTGTCAACCTTAATCATCTATACCGGAAATTATTTAGCCTTGAACGGACTCCTGTGAACATAACTAGAGTACGAAAATTATAAGATTTGTTTGTTGTTTAATGCGGCACTCAGGAATATTCCAGCTAAATGTACGAAATAGTAGTGAAAAAATATGAACAGATTCAACGTACTAAATACTGTTGATGCTTATAATTATATTAGCAGACTCCGTTTAAGATACAAAATAGTAGTGACTACTAAATGAACAGATTCCTTTCAACACTCACAACTGTAAAAATGGAAATCTGAAATGTCACGTCCATATATTTCTTACACTGGGATTGTCCAGTGGCATATGTGTAGAAGTTCCTCCCTCATAAAAAATATCTTAACCAAACTTGTTAAAATCTGCTGGTCAAGTTTTAAACCTTGGGATTGAGCAGAACATTTCGCCATTTCGTTTCATGACGTCATCAACACCTGGTCTCGTGTTCGAGTCTATTTTGAAAATAAGCCCCTAATAACAATCTATATTTATGCCCGTGCATCAGATGCACCTATCTATTCCCGTTGCTGCCGTGCGCCCCTCCGCGCCAACTGTCAACAATCATGTTTATAATGATGATAGCTTTCTAAACAACTTTTTCTGTGATGCATTGCAATTTCTAATAGATGAAAAGGTGTTTGGGTATAGGTTATTCATGGACATCTTGCCGTAATCTCGTAATATTTATATACTACCTTTCTAAACTGATATATTTAGCGATTCATAGGGACACTTTATAGTCAAACAGGCTGTAAGTTGTTTCAAATAAATATTCTGATGTTAGTAAGGTTGCAAAACTGAAGGTAAACTTACCTTTAATTTATGATAAAGATATCCAATGGTAAATCCAATGAATCACACAGTATAATCCAAGGATGTTTAGTAATCCAATGAGATATAGACGCACAGGTATGAAAATGGGAATGTATATCCACTACGTGTAGTGACATAGCCTTAATACAGTCTTTTACTAAGGTCCTATTCTGAAATAGACTCGAACACAAGACCAGGTGATGATGAAGTCATAAAACAAAATGGCGAATTTTCTTATCAACCCTCCCGGTTTTCAACAATTCGGCTGAAGGTTGAGGCCACATAGTTTTGTTTGTATTTCAAAAGTAAGCTAGTATATCGTTTGAAATTAAATAGTGCCTCTACCTAATTACTACGTGTCTTGAGGGGCAGCTGACCCCTATTCGGATACAGACGGAACCAACTGACACTGACCTCTGTTGACAAGATTATGTTGCACACAGTAACAGATATATCTACATTAAAGATTCGCACACAGTTTGTATGTAACCATATATGTCTTTGATCTACCTGGGTAGTTACAATTAGATTTTGAGAAATAGTGATAGTGAACAGTGAGGGAAAGTGTCAAAGGCGTTATCCCTGATTTCAGTCAGATTTCGGAAACATATAACTGAACTAGTATTACCAACAGCAGGTCGGGAAATACAGATCGCGTTTGTGCGAGACTCGTTGCGGATCCAAACAGGGTTTAATAAAGGGCCTACCTGAGTTGTTGGCATCTGCGTGGATGTTACTGATCAACAGTATCGTTGAAATCAACGTCAGTATCAGCATTGTGTAGTCCGTTTGCTTGTGTGAACTCTACGAAGACTGAACTCCAGTTATAGAAACATAGCTAGGTTGTCTTGTCCTGTTGTGACGTCACTGATAACATGATACTTCCCACTTATCAGTGAATGTATTGTGCAACTGTTTAAGGTGGGTAGGTCATGTTGACCCGTTCTAAAGCGAATGATATGACGTCTCAAAAAGAGTTGGTATGCTTCGTGGTAGGAATTGTAATTGAGTGAGAGGCCTTTTGGGGCCCAATCTTCTGATCCAGTTGATAGACTAGAAGTGAAAGGAGCCCCGGAATAGACCTCATCTAAAGCAACTAATGGGATCGACCGTCATGGCGTTTTGACTCGGTTGTTTACAGACATTTAGCTGGAAAGTGTACTTGAGGTTTGAAGAGAATATTTTATTAAAAACTCCTTTTGCAACAGGTTGTACAGTATAAAATATAACAACTGCACCTCCGAAGTATTGCGACACATTTACGGCTGGTGGGCAACTGCTGCTTCTCTTGGGATAATTGATGTTTTTATTTACTTTGTTAAAATTGAGCCTCCTCCTGCAATAAAAATCGGCTGAGACTATTTGCCAACTTTGTGTGGGCGTTCTTACAGACGGGGGGCGGTGGGGTAGCCTAGTGGTAAAGCGTTGGCTCGTCACGCTGAAGACCCGGATTCGATTCCCCACATGGGCACAATGTGTGAAGCCCATTTCTGGTGTCCCCCGCCGTGATATTGCTGGAATATTGCTATAAGCGGCGTAAAACTAACCTCAGTCAGTCAGTCTTACAGACGACCAAATGTTCTGGCTTAATTGCCTTCCCACAGTAAGCGACCTTGCAGGTCGTCCTGACCTGTCCGTGCATACAAATCCATAAAACCCCATACACCCTGTACTAAAGGGTATTAAAGATTAACAGTTAACTATAAACTATGTTTCGCCATACTTCTGATAAGTTGAATATATACAGAGAACATGCTGACGTAGAAGTGAGTGGGTTCAGTTTTACGCCGCACTCACTATATTCCAGCTACATGGCGGCGGTCTGTATATAATCGAGTCTGGACCAGACAACCCAGCGATCAATAACATGGGCATTCATCTTGGCAATTGGGATACGATGATATGTGTCAACCAAGTCAACGAGCCCCACTACTCGATCCCGTTAGTCGCCTCTTACGACAAGTATGGACCACTGATGATCAATTCTAAACCTGATCTTCAAGGGTCAACACATAGAAACAATCATGGGACCTCCATATAGACATAACTTATTCCACCATATACACATAAATTCCAGTAATATGAGTCCAGGGACCATGTTATAAATACATAAACCTTACTCAGGAAGATATCATGAAAACTACAGTTCCTATTTATCGATCACCAATTTGCGTTCGAGTGATTTTGACCTGGAGTGATTCTCATGACACAGATTCTTGGGTACGCCGGCAGTTGCATACATCGATGCTCGTTATGTCTCACTAAATCGTTTGGTCCAGTAATTATTGTCATTTGACTGCAATATTGCTAGCTAGTACTTTTTTATTTTGTCCAGAAAGTAATTTTGCAACAAGGTCACATTTCCATATTCTTCATATCCATTTCATTTACCTCGTGAATACCATTTTTATAAAACTCGTGAAAGATTTAGTATCAAACTCGCTTTCGCTCGTTAGGTACCAAATCATTAGCTCGTTTAATAAAATGGTTATTACACGGAAGGCCGTTTAGTAACCTCTATGTTTCCATCTTGGAATCGGATTGAATTAGCAAAAAACTGATGACGACGTTGATTCCATCGTTGATGGTGAGGTTCACATCAACACAGTGTAAATGAGCCTTGCAGTCGCTATTATGCTGCTTCAAAACACAGTTACATCTTCAAACCGTTCTATTCATCTTGGCCCAGGTAGCATGCCATCATCGGCCCGACATCGGCTGATAGTCGGCACCGTCGGGTCGGCTAATATCGGCATCGTTGAACAGCGCTGGGCCGACAGCGGGCCAATGTAACCCAGCTAACTCATAACATCTTCCAAACATGTTCATAAGGTTTCAAACTGATTTATCCAAAATATTTTCTTCAAAACACACTCACAATCTTAAAACAATTCTCTCAACTATTTAAAAGCATTAATTATTCAAATGTTTTTTTAAAAGTTTTTCATGAAGAAATAAATGTTACCGCGGGAAAGGACGTCGGAATGACGTCACACGTTCACGTCATAATTTCGCACCCGCCATCTTAGTTGAAGTTTATTGAGGACGGTACAACAATGTCATTTCGCAGCAACAAATGGAACTGTATCATCGATCTGACCTCGGTTGCGGTAAGTTCACTTTACTGTCACTACCCGGTTGTTGTTATGTTTATGCTCATTTTGATATTCACTTGATCGTGCTACTCAGAATCGCGAGGTTTTGAGCAGCCGTACACGATTCGGTGTTGTTAGGCTTCCAACAGAAAGTATTATGTATGTTGTTGTGAAGGATACCTAAGGGAGTTTGCACCATATTAATTTCATGTTGGATACAAAATTTTATTCAGCTATCAATTGCAAGCAGTATGTTCTTAACCAGAGGTCATGTCAGGCGGACATTTGTCGCTATTATGTTCGGTTTTCGATCTAGTAAGCGTATGCATAGCTCACAAGCCAGTGACTCTTATCGTCATTAATTTTGTTCCCTGTTATTTCCGAAATTCATTTTTTTATAAATTTAACATGACAACTTACTATCAATTTTTTAAGCTATGAAAAGTTCGCTCACTTCAGTCAGTGGGAAATGTTGCATCAAACTTATAACACGAAAATGGGGAATCAAAGTATTCACATACTTTCTGGTCGATTTGACTGTGGGCTATTAGTTACTGTCATGGTCTAAGTACGTTATTTAAAATGAATGTTCAGTCAGAAATGACCGAAGCATACTAGGTAAATTACCGAAACACTGACTAAACTATATGTTGATCATCCGCTTGGTTGTTGTGGTTTTGCTAGTCTAACATTCGATCCACGTTATTTTCAGTAGAAGGCTAGATCTATGTTATCAAAGTATAGTGTTTACATTGTGTATTCTTAAATTTTCCCCAAACTAATCAATATTCATTTTCTGATATGTATATGTCTCTTCTAAACGAGAGCCAGAAATAAACATGTTTCCCGCGCAATAACGGGGCGTTGGCGATGACTGGTCCTCGGCAATGTTCATTCGGTTTTCGATCACCATGTTTTTTCATGATACAGTATTAATTATTCAAATTTACTTAGTCTTTGTTCAGGAAATGTAGACCAAATAAATTTATTATGGTTTACTTGGTTCACCGAAACATTTTGCCAATGAGAAAAAAAAATTATAGTGATCGAAAACTGAACGAATCTGGTTACAATGCTCGCAACGAAATCATACTGCAGCAGTAACTGTTCCGCGTGTAAGACGTGAATCATGTAGCTAGTTACAATAGCTATTTAATATATCAATTCAAGTTTGTATTCCAGGTTAGAATGTATAGAAGCGCTGTCCAGTAATCCATGTTTGTTGTAAAGGGGCAGAGTTATTTCCAATCCAACTTTATACACGTTGGTGTTAAATCTACACACGTTGACCCCCAAAACTTTAGGCAATAATTATTACACAATATATTTCAGCATCGGACTAACTAGATTTATATATGCTTGGGGAATCTAGTTCAATTTGTAACTTGTTATAATGTGGAACATTGTTATTTTTGTTGCAGCAAGGGCGAATATGAGCCACAAGAATTCCGGCAGATACAAACAGAAGTGATGGATTTATTGAGGATTACATCAAATAATCCAGGAGCTGTAAATCAGTAAGTGCATCTGTTAAAAAACTATTGTCTATATACTTGTTGGTGACGTTTTGGCTTTTTATTGCAAAAATTGGATTTGTACCTGCACTCAGCCTCTGACCAACAAGAGTGGTGGGGTAGTGGTTGCTATTCAGTGTGATTTGATACTATTACCAAATTAGGCATTCAAGGATTTCCATTATTTTCCATTGTGTGCTGGTGTCCATCAAACACTTGCATATACATAGGTGCTGGAAGACTTCATTAACTGATTATTGTCTCTTGATTTGACTTAATACACTTACTATACATTTGTTTTCTTTATTTCAGAAAAATGGATAAAGTCGAAACCAAAGAAGAAGATTCTGAAATAATCTCGAAAAGTGTACGCGTTTTCTGAAAGAAATTAATAAAGAGTGTTGATTACATGTCTGCCATTCTGTTTTTTATGTTCCTTGTTAAGAGTAACAATGTCTATTTTCCATAGACATGTAACCTTATTGTTAACAGTTAGTGTTTTACTGAAAAGTTAAAACCATATCTTGACAGAAAATGTTATTACAACGTTTCCTGAACCATAAACATTCACATGGATAAAAGGTTTTCAGAAGCCTTTTTGGTGGTTACTGAATTTTATAACCAAACGTTCATAGAACACACTGTTTCTGGAACCATACAAATTCATATGAATAAATCGTTTTAAAAACATGATATGTTTAGGGGATGTTTCTTCACATTTATATATATGTTTTGATACACATTTAAGATAGTATTCATTTATGAATTGTGGTACGTGCTATCAAATATGTATTCACCGTTGAGAAGTGAAGTGAGCAACTAAACTAACGGGCAAAAGAAAACGATACTAAGTCGAAATCACTGATATTACAAAACGACAAACCACCATTGTGTAAAAGGAAAGTGAATTTTAATAACAGGTGTATGGGCATATGTATGCACATGCATGTTACCCATACACCTGTTATCAAAATTCACTTTCCTTTTACACAATGGTGGTTTGTCGTTTTGTAATATCAGTTATTTCGACTTGGTATCGTTTCTTTTGCCCGTTAGTTTAATATTGCAGTGCCTATAAAGTGACGACGTTGGGCCGATGCAGTGCCAATAAAGTATGCCGACGCTGAGCCGACGTAGGGCCGATGCAGGGCCGATACAGGGCCATTGAAGTTTGCCAACGTTGGGCCGACGTCTATACGATGAGCAAAACTTCATCGGCCCGATGAAGTTTGCCGACGTCGGGCCGATATTGCACACGACGTCGGGCCGATGTCGGGCCGATGATGGCATGCTACCTGGATGCACCTCTGCTTTCATCCGAGCGACAGTCGCCCATCCGTTCCCACGTACGGAAGTGAGGATGCCACATGGAGGGGGACAGACTTGTTCAAGTTGCCGCACGAAGCTATGTCCCAGGATGGCAAAGTCGATTGGCTTTGAAACAGTACCTTTAGAAAGTATGGAGGCCATGGCTTCAATTATTTCGAATTCATTCCCCTCTCATATCGGTTTCTCAATATCGTGAGCATTTGTATTTGAAACTGGAGGAGTGTCAGTACAATGAGGTTGTTGTAATTATAGCAGTACTAGCAATAGTACCATCATCAGCAGCAGTACTAGCTGCGATATGTTTAGCATTAGTAGTATTAGTAGTGGTAGTATTAGTAGATGCATTAGTAGTATTAGTATTTTTTTATGTAGTACTTAGTGCTTAGTAGTAGCAGTAGCAGTAGCAGCAGCGGCAGCAGTGGTAGTAGTAATGGTAGCAACCACCATACAATATTTTGCATTTGCTCAATCTTAAATTGTTAAAGCTGAAAATATTAAGATGCCGCTAAAAGCAAAGTAAACTAATTTTAGAAAAGGTCGCAACCAAATTGAATATATTTGATGGCTAATACCCCTAACACAGCACATCCTATATTTTAATTTCTGCTGCGACCTTGCCAGATAGAATGCGACTGCGGCGAATCCTACAATGGTGAAACATCAAGACCAGTCACCATTACGATCAAAGAACACCAGGCCTCAGTAAGAAGCAAAGACTCTAAATCCGCCATAATCCACCTTAAAACCAGTCCAATCCACAACATCAGTTGGAACACCACCAAGGTCATCGAGAGGAACCATTCTGTTTTCAAGACCCGAAAACTACTTGAAGCTGTCCACTTAAGGAAGATTTGCTCAGCTATCAACAGAGATGAAGGATATTTCCTCCCCAAGGCCTATCATCACTTGCTGAATTAAGTTCATGTAACCATACTGAACCATTGTACAATGCCCACTGTTCAACATCACTTCACTGCTGGCTTCCCAACAGTCCATTTATCACCTATGTAAACAACCCAGATAGCAAAACCATTGCCAACGTTGGGCCAACGTCTGAATGCTATCTGGGAACCTACATGTATTTAAACAACCTATTTACATCATTTCCTACTGGCTGCCCATCAACATCCCTAATCTCTTATGTATGCAACCATGTACATGTTCTTTACTGGCTTCCTATCAACCTACTTAATCATGTGGTCTCTTCTCTTCTCTCCAAAGATCTCATGCATATATATCACCCAAAATTACTTCCCATGTACCGCTTGCTTGACAGCGACATTAGAATCCATGTCGAAACATCGCCTGTATAGAAAAAAGAAGTTGTATATCCATAAAAATAGTCCTCATTCTTCACCAACCCAACTTCTAGAATGCCAATCAAAGAAGTTGATTTTAATACGTTACGTGTTCATGAAGATGAAGATAATTTGTATGATCACATTTCAGCTGTATATATAATCCATTGATGAGAAATATATTAATGTCATGTGTATAGTTTTAAAAAAATGTATAATTCAATCATCAGGCTTCCGTTTTAATAGTTTTTCGAAATTTGTTAATGAAACGATGAGACATACCTTCATGATTTCGTAACAGATTTTCGTGACAGAAGTAATATAACCCTTCGGATTAAAATCGAATTGGTAGTACTCTCAAAACAGTGATTTCTGGCTGCACCAATCAATGGTACACTACTCTTGCTTGTCTGTTTTATCCAAGAGGAATTCATCATACCCTCAGTAGCATTTATACTGAGTCAACTACAAAGGAATACTCACGCCCCTCTGTGAACAAAATCAATTTCCTTAATGTTATCCTTTACTTGTAAGCAGCAGAGTCTATCCACTTCAGCAGTCATTATACAAAGTAAACTGGAAATGTTGGCTCATGTATCACTGGTGTGTGTGGTTTGTTTACATGACATGGCAGAAGTTCTGCTGTGCTGCGTCAGGCTATTCATTTTCTATGACAATTATATGGATCGCGGGGACACCCGTACGACATTACATATCCACCCTTTATCGCAAAATGGTTATTTACTAAAATCAGTAGTCCATTCATATAATTCCCATAGGTATATTGCCTTTTCCACCAAAAGGACCTTTGCCACTTGAGAATTGGTCTTCAGCTATCCATCCTTATCGTAAGAGGGATCGGTGGTCAGGCTCACTGACGTGGTTGAAACATGTCATCGTATCCCAATTGCGTAGAACGATGCTCATGTTTTTGATCATTGGATTGTCTGGTCTAGACTATATTATATGCAGACCCCCGTCATATAGCTCGAATATTGTGCAGCGTAAAACTAAACTCACTCACTCACTCCTGACCACTTCTTGGGTACCTATGTGGTCATGAGCACTTCTAGGATGTATAGGGCCATGACCACTTTTGTAATGTATTGGGTCATGAACATTTCTGTTATGTATAGGGTCATAAAAACTTCGTTCGCACAACGTGTTGGGTCATGCACAGTTCTGTGTCTCTGTTTAGTCATGAACACCTTTGATCCGTGTAGGGTCCTGAACACTTCTTGGGCACGTGTAGGGTCATGAACACTTTTTAACAGATGCAATAATACTACATGCATTACTGTGTGACATGCAAACATACAAACCATGTAGAACACCAATGTACGAATGAAAAGGATGACGTCTGTATGTTCTAGTTTATTCTCTTTTGCAACCCATTATTGCACTCCCTCTTCAGATAAAATATATGACATCTGCAAGTCGATGTTTCTCTGACAAATGTTGGATGATTGTTTGTATTACATGTTTATTGAACTGTACACTGAAGTATTACAAGGTTCTTAATGAAGAACTAATTTAAATTGGAACCAATCTGTAAACTAGGATACATTTTCACTTTATGTTAATGATATTATCCGTTTGTAAGTAGCACTGAAGGTATCTGTTATAATGTAAGAGGCTAGTACCTCATGACAAAGTTAGTGATATTACGCAATTGTCAATATATATTTAACAATGACACACACAGGTAATATTTATGTATATTTATGCATAATATCATGAACCTCTTCGTTTGTACGTGTTGGGTCATGAACAGTTCTGGGTCTGTGTGTCTGTTTAGTCATGAACACCTCTGATCGGTGCTTGGTCCTGAACATTTCTTGGGTACGTGTAGAGTCATGAACACTTTTTTAACAGATGTGATAATACTACATGTATTACTGTGTGATACTTCATGTTTCAGACATACAAACCGTGTTGCATGCCGATATACGAACGGGAAGGGGAACGTTTGGTGTGTACTAGTTTATTCTCTTTTACAACCATTATTACACACCCCCTTCAGATAAAATATATGACATCTGCAAGTCGATGTTCCTCTGACAATTGTTGGATGATTGTTTGTATTACATGTTTATTGAACTGTACACTGAAGTATTACAAGGCTCTTGATGAAGAAGTAATAAATTAGAACCAATCTGTATACTAGGAAACATTTTCATTTTGCGTTAATGACATTATCCGTTTGTACGTAGCACTAAAGGTTTATGTTATAATGTAAGAGGCTAGTACCTCATGACAAAGTTAGTGATATTACGCAATTGTCAATATATTTTTTAACAATGACACACACAGGTATTATATAATCAACAAGTAACATCACCTACCAACTGATTATTCAATTCTTTCATCACTTCGAGGAAAAGCAACATTCCAAAACCAAAGTGTTGTTATTTTCTTTTGGAAATCATATATGCCCACTTTGGAGAGAGAATTCTTTTCCTGTGCATTCTTTAGCAAACCAGACTGTTCGCCAGAAACATGTTCAGTGGGATTTTATTCCTAGTCTACATTACATGTACGTATACTTCTGACTACGTGTACCCCGAATCTTTCTGGTTTGAAGCCCATTCCTGGTGTTCCTCGACGTGGTATTGCAGGAATATTACTAAAACCGGCATAAAATCACACTCATCATCCGTATCCTTCTGATGCGATCAGGACTGCAGCAACCGCCTGTCCAATTAACCAACATCGGGAACATCATCCAAACACACTGGCACCTAATTATACAATCCACGTTGTTGGATGATGTGACGTCAAGTGTGTATGTCCGACACATCCTTCTCTGTCAGGACTGACACAGTCGGCAATACAACGTTCACTACACAGTCACTTGACTGCTGCCGTGGATCAATACTCTCCAGTGCTTATATTCTACTAAAGTAAATGTTGAACTTGGATATCAAATAAAAACATTGCATAGCCTTTCTAAAACCCAACTAAACAACTTTCTGACACAAGTACAATTGCTACAACCGTGCGTCATCGGCCTGGCTGTCTGCTGTATTACTGTTCGTTGTAGAGTTATCAGGAACACTACCGTCAGGGGGAGGTGCCTGGAATTCGGTGTTATTCTTTATAACATCATCGTAGGAAGGCGGTGGGTCAAACACAGCGGTGTTGTAGTATTCCCCTGCGTTCATTGGCTGGATTGAAACCTGTTGCTGACTGTACCCTACCGTATATTCCGGGGTTGGGGTAGACAATTGCCCAACTGGTGTTGTCAAATAAGCAGGTCTTGTCCTTACACCTGCTCGAGACATTTCTGCTAACGTTCGTTTCTTATATGACCTTGCACAAAGGATAAGGATAGCAAGCAAGAGCCCACCCCCAGCTAATCCTCCGAAAAATGCAGCAGTATTGAACTCGAACGGTCCCTTTTCTGAAACAAGTATTATACAAGCATTGAGGTAAAATAAGTTATATTTGGGATTGCACTTTATCAGTAAAGTAAAGATTCTTGTACTTTTTGGGGTTGAGTGGTCAAGGTGTCTTGACTTTGTGTGCTGGCGATTAGGTGCCTGACTCTGAGGGTGTGGGTTCAAATCCCGGATGGGACTCAACCCAAAAACTGTACTAGAATGTGTACTTTACTGAGAAAGTGTAATCCCAAATATTACATATGTTCCATTTGACCATTTTCTAAATGGCATTGTGCATTTCATAAGTATTGAGGTAATGGGTATTCACTACTTGCAGCCACTAATTCATCGCCTTGAACTACTTTTTATCATGGTAACACTGTTACGTTCAGAACTTCTTTGTATCATGGTAACGCTGTTACCTTTATAACTACTTTGTATCATGGTAAGACTCTTACGTTTAGAACTACTTTGTATGGTGGTAACAATAAACGTTCAAAACTACACAAAGGATAAGGATAGCAAGCAAGAGCCCACCTCCAGCAAATCCTCCGAAAAATGCAGCAGTATTGAACTCGAACGGTCCCTTTTCTGAAACAAGTATTATACAAGCATTGAGGTAAAATAAGTTATATTTGGGATTGCACTTTCTCAGTAAAGTAAAGATTCTTGTACTTTTTGCGGTTGAGTGGTCAAGGTGTCTGGACTTTGTGTGCTGGCGATTAGGTGCCTGACTCTGAGGGTGTGGGTTCGAATCCCGGATGGGACTCAACCCAAAAACTGTACTAGAATGTGTACTTTACTGAGAAAGTGTAATCCCAAATATTACATATGTTCCATTTGACCATTTTCTAAATGGCATTATGCATTTCATAAGTATTGAGGTAATGGGTATTCACCACTTGCAGCCACTAATTCATCGTCTTGAACTACTTTTTATCATGGTAACACTGTTACGTTCATTTTTGACAATATAATATTCAGGTGCACTTTGTATCATGGTAACAATTGCACGTTTATAACTCCTTTATCTCATGGTAGCAGTATAACGCTCACAACTGCTTTGCATATTGGGAAGTGTGTCACATTTCAAAAGCAATTATTATATTATTATATTATTTCCATTTTACTGAATGTTTGGCAGTCTATGGTAGCTTACCATCTTGACTCTTTTGCTTTGAGTAATATGTTATCTTGAAACCACCTCCCGTGTGAGATTGGTCAGTTCGAAAGAGGACTGTCATCGAGCTGCCAGAACTTGTCTTTGTTGGGGTAAGAATTCCGCACCATCGTCCAAGGGATGGTGAAGATGTGTATCGCCCTGAAATGCACATACCAACTACTCACAGTTGTCATTCCAAACATTTTCGGAACTGCACACGGTAAAACAAATGGTTCCAACGTCTTCATATACAGTAGACTAAGGTCATAACGAAAACAAAAATGTATATAGTTCGTACTACACATTTCGACAGAAATAAACAGCAAATGGTCGGGACCCCAACACAGCTCGATATATCTGTCAGTTCGTTATATTCGTAGCTTAAAGTATTGGAGCATGTATAGCAGGAGAAAGGACAAAGCATTCCTATAATCATCCAGAAAATGCGCAAGTTTTCAAACGCAGCCTGCAATAATTTAGATATTGATAAAGCCGTTTGTATTATATTACAGATTGCTATTGTAACCACGAGTCAAATCCAAATTGTGAAGGTCAATACACAGTTGGTGCCAGAAAACGTTCTGGGACTGCCGAGGAAACAGTATATTCTTGTGACTTAAAGGCTCATGACATTGTCAGTTTGCATTTTAGTTAGATATTTCCAATAGCCAGACTTCTGAACAATGACATAGCAGAATAATTGCAAACCTTTTAGTTTGAACCTATATGCTACAAACTGCAATATTACAGGACCATTTGAAGTGAATTTTAACTTTTTCAAAAATGATCTTCAAGAAGTACTCACCGTCGTAACTACTCACTGCGGTGGCAGACAGCTTGAAACCTGTTCCTGTAGTTCCGTAACTACCAGAGTAGTAATCGTATTCTCATATTGCGCCCTGAACTTACGAATGCTGGTCGTAAGTTCCACAAAGGGAACTAATTTCTCCGGCATCTGAATACACATGTTGTAACGTCAGCCAGGTTACCTCCTTTCAGGCACATTAAAAGAAATTCGTAACAAAAATATTTGAAAAAGTGAACCAATGAATTAAGACGCGCTATTAGGGTACTGGTCATAAGACGCAAATTAAAAAAGCATCACAGAGAGTATCTTGTTAATCGAAAAATCTCATAATTATATAGCGAGATACGCATTATGCAACAATGATTTATACACGTGTATTAGTGCGTGTATTTGAAGTTTGAAAACAGTCATATCATACACTAACATATTTCTTCTCAGCTTATGTCAGTGAGACTACACATATATCATTCCTACCGTCACTAATGGAAATAGTATCCACAGAACAGTCACCGGATGATTGGAAACTGTTCGCCAGAACACTTAGTTTGATGTTGACGTAATGATCTGCTGTTAAGTACCACCAACAATTCCTGTGCCTGAAATTTAAAATAAAACGTGATTTCAGTTATGTCATGGTGTGTCAGCTTGCTTGATGAGGGGACAAAGTCCCGAAGGGATGTAGGTCTTAGGCGTTTACCAAACTGTGGTAAAAAGAACGGGTAGAGTTCCGAAAAAATAAAATAAAATAAACAAAGCGAATCCTGGCTTCCTGATTATAGGACGCCCAAGGGAAGCAACTCAGGACAGCTAATTGCGCCGGATAAGATATCTGGATCCAAATCCTCCTTACGGTAAAACTGCTTCAGCATACTAAGCACCATGACTTTTCATTTACATGTTGCATGCATTATAGAATTGATTACGTACGACGTATCTGTTATATCCTACACTCAATATAACTACAGTGGCAGTTCATGAAATAAGGGCGCTGGGTAGCCTAGTGATTAAAGCAGTTTGCTCGTCACGCCTGAAGAACCGGTTAGATTCCCCACGTGCGCCAATATGTGGAAGCCCATTTCTGGTGTCCCGCCATATTGATATTGCTGTAAACTAAACCACCGTTACGCCAATTCATTGCTGACAGCGTAAACATTCAAAACTCACTCTGTTTTACGCCAATTCGTGAGAATACAAGGTTGACAGAACGCAACACATTCAACATACCACAACAAAACTTAGAATGGGGTCCAGAAACCTACTGTGAGAATATTATTTGAGGTTTTTAATTTCTGATGACATACACCAGTTTTTGCTGCTTCCTTAAAACATGACAAATCTTGTACGACGGATTTTGAGTGAGTGGGTACGGCTTCACGCCGCTTTTAGCAACATTCCAGCAATATCACGGCGGGGAGACACCAGGAATGGGCTTCACACATTGTACCCATGTGGGGAATCGAACCCGGGTCTTTGGCGTGACGAGCGGACGCTTTAACCACTTAGCTACCTCACCGCCCCACGGATCTTTGAACGTCAGTGGACACAACTATAACAGTTATGGGTCTTTAGTCCATTGGGTCAAGTCCTCTTTACATGTAGTACTATTCAATACATCTAGACCAGTCAAAAAGAGAATTTACCTTGGGTAAGTAACAGGATACATTGGTGAGTAGATCATCGTTCCCGAAGACGTCACAGAGACGTTTGTACTACAGGCGTAGGGTGCTGTAATTAGAATGGGTGGGGATATGTTAGTTGTATAAAGCTTCCGAAGAAATATCTGCGAGAAATATTCAGTAAGATCACCCCTATTTAAAGACACCTTGACTATCTGACTAAAACTTAAACATAGACAAATATATTTAATGACACACACACGCATGTACGCACGTACGTACGCACGCACGCACACGCACACACAAAATTAAACAAAGAGACCCTCAGATCGAATATTTGCTACACGTTATGCGATCACAGGGAGCAGTAGTCTCACTCTCTTGACAAGTGTCCAGGGGATTACTCAATGTCATCCCTGTACACATAGCGACCTGTCATCGAGACCCGCTGTAGGTCATTGTGGTCGATTCTCCAGCTTTACAAATACATCCAAAGGCAAAAAAGTTGCAAAGACGTTGTCACACAATGATCATGCTACTGACTGCTTTTCCTGAGATCCTATTCGATTACCCAATCATTGTTTCCAGGGATATATTTGACCATATTTATTGGACCATTTTTCGTATAATCAAAAGTTGATCCATAGCTAAAATTGACAGGTAAAATGACCGTAAAATGAATATAATACTCACTTTCTGTCACTGAATATTTCAGACGGAAACCTTTTTCATTTCTACTTCCATCAGTTTTGAAGATTATTAACATGGCATTTCCCGTACTTTGAAATGTGGGGGCTCTGTCATCACACCAGTTTTCAAGAAGAGAACTTTGATTTGTGGTACCTGAAACAACATGTGGTGACCCATAAACATGTGAAACTCACATAGTTGAATGAATATAATCGACCCTACATTTAAATTCATTTTTCGCCTTTATGCACATACGAGTTTTAAATCTTTATTGTTCTTATATTGACAAATTTCCACTCAATGATTACGAAACTAAAATGTGAATAATATTTCCGTCGACTGAAAGTTATGCTGTCCAAAAAAAAACCTTATTAAAAATGAACGTTCGGGTATTTCGGTCATGTCGTACGCTTCAGGTAAATGTGTGAAGGAAACGGAAGTGACGTAAGTTTGAAATGTTTTCCTGGTTAGTGTAACTACTTGGTGCGGCAATATAGTTCTACCCAAGATTGAGTGAGGGTGTCTTGGTTTTACGCCGCTTTTAGCACTATTCCAGCAATATCACGGCGGGGGCACCGGAATCGGGATTCACACATTGTGCCCATATGGAAAATCGAACCCGGGTCTTCGGCGTGACGAGCGAACGCTTTAACCACTTGGCTACCTCACCGCCCCGTTATGCCCAAGGTAAAGCTGGGATTTGCACAGACCATCAACAGGTCTTGAGTACAGCTAATGAAGCTGAAAAACCGCCGATGTGTTAGACCGTGTCTCCTCAACATGGTAGATGTATTCAGGCTTGCCAAACTTTTCATTCCGTGTATTTGCATTTAAAGGGAAAATGGGAATTAGAGTGAAATCGGAAACCATTAACAATCAATTATTCACGTTGATGCAACATTAACAGGTTTCACAATTCTGGGAAAGTACACAAATGTATGTAGCTCACCGTCGAAGGCTTTCACGATGTCATAGCGACATGATGTGGAGGATTCCAGTTCTGAATCAAGGACTTCCACATGGATCATCTTCCCTCGGGGCGCTGTTATGTGCCAGACACAATACAGGTGTCTAGAAACCAAATCAACGTCAACATTATACATGCGCACACGCACACACGCACACACACACACACACACACATACATACATGAATACATTGCATGCAAAATACCACCTATTAAATACACATTTCACAAAAGGATCATACAGACATAATAGTCAGATGAACACAAATATACGTACGGAACGTATCGGTCAGGATAACCTGGCGATGTTATATACTGATCGGTTTCTGTAGCACTCAGGTATGTATCCTCACAGTGGTTCGGTCTAACTGTGCCTCTAGTCGTGGCTGTAGTTGTAGATGTAGTTGTAGATGTAGTTGTGGTTATAGTTGTGGCTGTGGCTGTAGTTGTGGCTGTAGTGCAAGAAAATACAGTGATGCAACGGTTTACCTCATTTGGAATTGACAACTGATGATCTCCATGAGGAAGATGCATGATAAAGACCTTTTACTGTTCATACTGTCAAACGACCGAGTGGCGGTTGGGTAGTCTAGTGGTTGAAGAGTCGAACACCCGGGTTCGATTCTCCCCATGGGTACAATGTGAAAAGCCCATTTGCGGTGACCCCGCTGCGATATTGCTGGAATAATGCTAAAAGCGGCGTGAAACCATACTCACTCACTCGACCACGAGTACATCAATACATACAGTGGTATACAGTAGTTATAGGGGTGTACCCAAATATGTGGATGAAGCACTCATTCATCACGAGGGTTCGATTTCATGAATCAATCAATTTCTGGTGTCCCCCAGGACATTGTTGGAATATTGTTCGAAGCGGCGTAAAACAATATATAAAACAAGAAAACAGTATAATTTAGTCGCATACTTGGTGTGAAGCCATATACTGGAGAACAAACGCGGGGGTTGAACAGAGATGCTTGTTTGTGAGTAAGCTTTATCTGAACAGCATTTCAGTTGTACTGGGGTAGTACATTATTGTCTGATTATTATACTACTCTGATAAAGCCCTTGGGGGCTCCGGGAATTAGACGTTATGTGGTGAATCCAAATAAAACCCGAATCTTTGGCGTGAGCGATTGACTAAGTATAACACGTTATGATAAACCTTCATCACACAAAATCCATGAAGATACGGGTTAGAACTGATCTTCGGTAACCCATGCTTGTCGTAAGGGGATGGGTTGTCATGCTTGCTGACTTAGTTGACACATGTCATCGTAGCCCAATTGCGTAGATCGATGCTCATGCTGTTGATCACTGGATTGTCTGGTCCAGACTCGATTATTTACGGACCGCCGCCATATAGCTGGAATATTGCTGAGTGCGGCGTAAAACGTAACTCACTCACTCACTCATCACAAATGACAACTGACACCAAACGTCCTTTGACGGGTGAGTGAGTGAGTTCAGTTTTACGCCGCTTTTTACAATACTCCAAGCTATATCACGGCGGGGACACCAGAAATGGGCTTCACACATTGTACCCATGTGGGGAATCGAACCCGGGTCTTCGGCGTGATGAGCGAACGCTTTAACCACTAGGCTACCTCAACGCCCTCTTTTGACGAAACAACGCAAGGCTGCAGGATATAACTTGAAAACTCACTTGGTCCAGGCATCCGTTGGTACGAGACACGGAAAGCAGGTCCGGATTCGTTAGGGGATGAATGGAAGGTAATCCAAACGTAAGAGCTGAAAGACTCATACGCCGTACTATTTGCTGGATCGCCATCCGTGCATATTGCAATTTGTTGATCCGGAGATGAACCTTAAAATATACAATACAGATTTGACAGAATGCCCACGTGAATATAACCAGGTGTATTATTGTGTGTCCACATGCCACGTTTTGTGTTATCATTGCTTTCCATTTCGGGTTTAGGATGCAGTGGGGTAGCCCAGTGGTTAAAGCGTTCGCTCGTCACACCGAAGACCCAGGTTCGATTCCCCACATAATGTGTATAATGTGTGAAACCCATTTCTGCTCCCCCGCCGTGATATTGCTCGAATATTGCTAAAAGCGGCGTAAAACCAAACTCACTAAACCCATTTCTGGTTTACTTACCGTCAGTCAAAACCAGAACATCGGTGGAGGTACAATTCTCGAGATAGTTTTCCAGTTCAACAAAGACTCTGATCCTCATATAGTTTGCGGTAGCTGATAAACTCCAGCTACAGGTGAGGTTACTGCACAGAAAAACAATATACAGTTAAACCGCATTATCTCGAAATATAGTCTTGAGAAGTATATCTAGTTATACGTATTTCTAGTAGACAGGAGTACGGGTCAAGGTTATGGTCGAGAACGTCACAAAATTATCCGATATTATTCCCATACTGTTTTCAAGGATCGATGTTAAGACTATGTATGTATTCATGAGCAATTATTCAATTAGATGTATCATGTGGAAATGTGATACCGTTTTTAACCAATCGAAATCAAGCCTTCTTCAGTGTCATGGTTGAACGAGGATGTCCATCGAGGAATATATTACAATTAAAGTACAAGGATCTATGAATACAATTGTAAAAGGGTTAATTTTAATTTCTTTTCAACTTTTTGGGGCAATCTGTTTACAGAATTTGAATCAGCTCAAACTAAAAAAATAATTATCGTTGACCATGTGACCGATACGTACTTACAAACATGCCAAGTTATTGATCTTATGATCAAACTCGATGATTTTGAGAACCGTGTCAAGCTGACAATGACATAGTTATTATGTTGCTCATTTCTCTTACCTTTCATAAGAATCTGGGTAACCAGGGGAGTACACATAAGACGGGTTGTCGTAGGCATTCAAGTACGAATGGCATAATGTTGCTGAAATAAATATAAACTTGTTGTGTATAGCAGTGATGAAAAAAGCAGATTTCCAACGCCCCAAATTTCTTCATAGTATCAGTAGGTTACCATTTACCATAGCAGTGCGTGTAGTAAACGTTTGTCTTTACGTTTTCAAAATTTAGTTTCATTAAACTAGTGCTGACATGTCACTGGATTTTCTGGTTTGCCGATCCCAAACTTGATCTTTTTACAAACAATGGTCATGATAAAGCTGGAATGTTGGGAAGGCCCCAAACTCACACATTAACTGTACAATCATGTATATTATCATTATTCGTTCCCCGATCCCAGTGAAATTAGAGTGTCCCAGCAATCCATTTTTGTCGAAAGAATCGAGTAACTGGACCGAGTGAAATGGTTACGTGACTTGTTTGGCTGCATATCATCGTATCCCAATTGTCAATGACATGTGTACCCCTGAGTGTGCAGACTTAATTATTTTACAAGCCCCCGTCATATATTTGGGCCATTGATGAAGTAGCGTTTAACCAGGAAAAGCAAATACACTTCTTATCAAGATGACAGCAAACGTTCCAGACAATAACGCCATATATTCTTATACGTACTTGGCATGGTTCTGTACGATATGTTAAACCCCTTGTCCACCAATTCACTGTCAGTTTCGAAACGCAGGCTTATCGTATTTATGGGACTCTGAGCCACAAAAAATTGTCTTGTTGTCGAGCATATTGTAGTAAGCAATAGCTCATCTGAAAACAAAATAACAGAACTAAAATCTTTTCACGTATGACTTAAATTGTATCTGATCCCAAACCGTAAAACCAGATTTATTAAGACAATTATCATTATAAACTGCCAAGGCTCAACAGTGGTCGGTAATAATTTGAACGCGTGCTGCGCTCTCCTGTTCGTGATTTTGGTGGTTAAAAATGAAAAGTACACGTCAAAATTCTATGAAACAGACGGTAGACTTGTAAGTCATAAAATGCGACGTGTTGGTGCAGATTCCATCATCGTTATAAGACAACTGCTATACATACTATGACTGTAACCATAGCCCTATATTATATTAACAAGCATTGAGGGAGTGAGTATGGTTTTACGCCGCTTTTAGCAATATTCCAACAATATCATGGCGAAGGACACCAGAAAAGGGATTTACACATTGTACCCATGTGGAGAATCGAACCCGCGTGACGAGCGAACGTTTTAACCATTAGACTACCTCACCGCCCCTCGATAATTGATACCAAAACAAATAGTTAAATATATTGAAGAGATGACCATGTTTTTATGATTAATCATACTTACTATGCGTATCGTTGAGGAAAAATATTTTCAAAAAATCGTTTGAACATGTCGAAGAACCCTGTAGCTTCAAAGATGATATATATATTGACAAAGGATCGGACCCGTTCTTGGATTGTATGGTCCACTCACATGTCTGATTGCTGGAACAAATATATGATTTACAGAATCCAGACCGATGACGTCTGTATTACAATCAACAGTCTGTTGTAAATATCTGTAAAATTTGCTATCAGTCTCTCTTAAAAAGATTCTGCAAAATTATATAATTTCTCATAATGTTCTTTAATGTTTTCATTCTCTTTAGTGCCATATACAAAGACGAGGGACTGTTTTGTCCCGGGTTTAGTAGGGCAGATAATGGAAAAATCGTTCACTATGTGATATAAGCAACAAAAATTGCATACATGTTCACTTTGGTACACTTTCTGAAAAAATAACGTTGGCCACTCAAAATTCCAAGATGGCCACCATTTCTCAAGATGGCCGCCATTTATATTACACTACCTTTGTTTCAGCTCCTAAAATAGAATTTCTCTAAGATTTTCAACGTATTTGTGGCTCAATGTGTTAATTAAGATAGTGTTTATGCTATGTAGTGGGTTGTTGTTATAAGCACCCCTTCTATACTCACTTGAAATAGTTTCGGGGATACCCTGTCGAAGTGAGATGACTGATTGTAGAATTGGCTTCAAGAACACCTCCACATGATTTGTTAACTGAATGCATTGGATACATGTGAGTAAACTTTCATGGCTGCTGTATGGACATCTTGACATGTCGGAATAATGTGGTAGATCACAGAAATTACAAGAGTTATGTAGTTACCGTATACTGCTTACAAACAAAGGATCATAATCTAGGCAAACCGAACGTCAGCGGATCCTGACAAACAAAAGGGACATAATTCAACACTGCCAATTGTGGAACCTCCGATGACATACACACGTCCATATGCCTACAAAAATGTACTATACTGAGATGACTTCAGACACAGTGGCAATTAACGGTGTACATTTACATTACTGAACATATCGTGACTTAACCTGATCAAAATAGAACTAAACTGCAGATCAAGGAAAGCATTGATGGAACAAATAAGAAACATTTATTGGATGTATTGAGAACGGCTATCACGATTGTATTATAGACCTCTAATAGTCTAATATATAGTATGGTAACATCCAATTTTAAGTGTTTTGTTCTTTTGTCTGACAGTTTACTGACAAAATTAAATATCAGTCAATAAACGAGCACACAAATCGACATTTTAAGACACACACACACACATATATATACTATAGACAAGTTCCTTTTAACATGTTTGCTATACAATGTTACCTTTTTCTGATGAGAAAGCAAAGGAATATGATGTTTCGGGTCCAATGTAGTCATAGTATGCAGTAATAAACATGGTGTCCCCAGAACTGACTAGATATCGATCTGTAAGTGACTCACAGAAAACAGCCAGTCGTGGACTTATTGTGTCCGGACCTGGAAAATAAAATATGTGCTTTCACATGTGGTGAATTTTGATTTGCATGAAATGTGAAACTCTTGGCAATCTGTATGTCCAGTCGTGTGAAATAAACAAAAATAAACAAATAGTGTTGCTCTCGTTACCTTTTGTGAGGACAATATCTAACAAAGTATATATACTAACATGCATACCAGTTTACACACGCGCACGCACGCACGCACGCACGCACAAAGAAACCAAAATAAAACAAATGTGCACATTTCTCTCATTCATATCAGCACAAAACATTTCCAACAGTACATGTATCCACACACACACGCACGCACGCACGCGCGATATCGATTGTGTGATGATAGCGATGAAACACTTCTTCTGTGCCGATTCGAAAAGTTAACTTACCATCATATACGGTTAAAGAACTGGAAGCGCACGGCGACCAACTGTACTTCCCGAACTTTACTATATGTAAGACAGTGTTCATGTCTGGGTTTTGGGCTTCTAACTTCCACCATGGGGAAAAAATCAAACTGGAAAGAAATGTATTGGAAATGAATCATCTTAATAGCACATCATATCATCCTCTGTATGTCTTGGGCTCTCGGTGAATCTTCACTAACCCCGAGGTCCATTCCAGTGATTTTTCGTCATCTCAAATTCAACGTACTTGATTTTCATTGGTCAGTTTGATGTGTCACGCTATTCAGTCTGACGAACCAATCAGAATTCGAGTTACAAACCATCTCCAATATTTTGTTTACGGTATCAACAGCATGGCAACCATTCCCACTGGTTGCGATTTGACTTTGCGAGTTATTGGACATTGAACAAATCTCTTAAATGCAAAAGCCCTAATAAATCATATTTTGTATTAAAGACATGACCTCATGTCCATTATGACTGATGGTGGCTTGAAGTTCCAGGCAACAACAATTACTTCCTTTAACCATTTCTTTTTCCTTAGGGGCGGTGGGGTAGCCTATTGGTAAAGGCGCCCGTTCGTCACGCAGAAGACCCGGTTCGATTCCCCACATGGACACAATGTGTTAAGCCTATTTCTGGTGTCCCCCGCCTTGATATTGCTGGAATATTGCAACAAAAGGATAAAACCACACTCTCTCACTCACGTGTTCCTTATCTGGACGTTGTACTGGTTGGTAATAAAAATACAGAGTAATTTCAGACCTCCGGAATTGATCCAGGGATAAAAGAATATTCCCGGGATATGACCTCTGTAAATAGAGAGGATGACATCAAATGTGCAACAACTATAGTGAGTGTGAGAGATAGCAGATGCGAACTGAAGCATCTCTATCAGAATGCTATACTGATAAGCAAAAGCATTTAGATACTAGTGGTACTAATTATACCCTATATACACACAAACTACTACTTCTAATATGCTTTGGATGAAGGCATGGGTTGCTCGTTGTCTAAGGCACTCCAATTCGTTGCCCATGGTTGAGTCCCTTATTCGTGCAAAAACACCTGTGACGTAGGCTCGAATCACAGTTTCGCTTCGATCATGTTTATGGGGTTTTCAACTCGTCCCCCTTGGGTATCCCTTTTACGGTGGTAGCCATATAAGACTTTTGTCTCTTTGGACTATAGGTAAGCAGGTGAGTACGGTTTTATGCCGCTTATAGCAATATTCCACCAATGTCACGACAGGGAGCACAAGAAACGGGCTTTACCCATTGTTGGGAATCGAACTCGGGTCTTTGGACTTTCGAGCGAACGCTTTAACCACAAAGCTACCTTACTGCCCCTTTGGGTTTAAAGATGGCATAAAGTGAAATTACTATTCAAACATGATGCGCACCAGTTTGTAGCTGCATCAACATAACTATGTCAGCGGCGGGGTAGCCTATTGATTAAAGCTTTCGCTCGTTACGCCGAAGACCTGGGTTCGATCCCTCACATGAGTACAATGTGTGAAGCCCATTGCTTGTGTCCCCCGACGTGATATTGCAGGAATATTGCTAAAAGCAGCGTAAAGCTCAACTCACTCACTCACGCACAAGTATTTCAGTTCCGCGTTATCCAGCGTAATTTATGCCCTCTCTATTTTGATAAATGCCATGGACCTATTTGCTTCGTATTTGAAAAGGACGTCGCGACCCATCTATGACAGCACAGAATTATTCTCGTTTGTGACAGCAAGTTGGTTTGGATGGATAATGTTAGCAACATGCTTTTTTAACCTGGCTCAACGAAGTGATCAAGGGTATATATCATGTCAGAATGAACAGCTAGTGCATAGGGTAATCGAGAACACATTATGGCAAACACAGTTTAAGATATTTAGGATGTAAAAGCGTACATACGGATAATCTACAGGAAACACAGGTGACACAACGTGTGTTGCTGTTTCGTTCACCAAGAACGTTGTGTTGGTTGCTCTAACTGAAAAAAAGTTAAAAAACTGACGCTTGCTGAAGTTATTGAAAGAAAAACATATTATTAATCAATATTTGAAGATGAGCGCAACCATTATAAGAAATTAACTGGAGTATTGCTGAGTGCGCCGTTAGAAAACAAACACCAGGGACCAATATAACAGGCTAGCAACCAGATATTGTAATGTTTCAATATTTGTGTAATATAAGTGCGTACTGTGACTTAAACGGGAATAACAGACAACGATACAACAGATAATCAAAGACCATATTATTTATATATTATACTAGTGCGCACTGTGACTTAAACTGGAATAATAGAGACCGGTAAAACAGATTATCAAAGACCAGAATATTTATCTTCTTTGAGTGGCATTTTAGAAGTCGGGAAGTACAATATAGAACAAACTTTATGGATAACAACTTCTTTTTATTCGTGAGTGCGACGTTTCGATACAGATTCTTGTACCGTTGTCAAGCATAATGCTTGACAACGGTACAAGAATCTGTATCGAAAGCATAATGCTTGACAACGGTACAAGAATCTGTATCGAAACGTCGCACTCACGAATAAAAAGAAGTTGTTATCCATAAAGTTTGTTCGATATTATACAGAATATTTATATTATATAAGTGTGTACTGTGACTTAAACGGGAATAACAGACACCGGTACAACAGATTATCAAAGACCATAATATTTATATATTACTAGTGCGCACTGTGACTTATACGAGAAAAATAGAGACCGGTAAAACAGATTATCAAAGACCAGAATATTTATTTTATATACAGTACAACAAGAAATGATTGAGATTTTAAGCACTGAATTTTTTTTTCACTCATTACTCACGTATTAAATGTGAATATTAGCAGAACATAACTCCAGATTCAAAGACAGGTGAACAGTTAGTATTTTGTCAAGTCACCATGGGCAGCAATGCAGGCTTCAATGCGGCGGGGCATACTACTGATCAAAGAAGTTAGAAGGTCATGACCCATGCTGTCCCAATATCGGACCACCTCTTCTTTCATTTCAGCAATATTTGTCAGATTTTTCTTATTGACACTTTCCTTCATAAGTCCCCAAACATTACTTTTGGATTTAGGTCAGGGCTATAGCTTAGCCAATCTAATAATGTCATATTTTGGGTCCGAAACCAGGCCTGTGAATGCTTTGAACGATGTTTTGGGTCGTTGTCCTGCTGGAAA